ATATAAGTGTTAATGAAAGCAAGATGCCAGGGTGTTTTGGCCCATTGCTTGCACCCTGCAGAGAAATGATGACATGCTGGAGCCATGCAGCCTTCCTGCAGCACGTGGTTCTGCTGCAACTCACCTCGTGCTGAGGCATCGTGCACCGACTGCTTCATGGCAGAGCAATGCTGCTGAGTGGGCCGGCTGCACCTCCAGCACCAGAGCTGCAGCCTTTGCATCCGTGCCAGTGAGGAGAGAAATGGAGCACCATGAGTGGTGCCAGCCCTTTGTTCCTGAAGTAAGAAGCACCACTACTTTGTGCTGCTCTTGTAGAAGCTCTCCATTGATTCAAGTGTTGAGCTGCCTCGCTCCAGAAGCTGTAGTGGAGCCTGCATTCACACTCACTATTAATACGTCTTTTGCAAACTTCTATTTCTTTAATATAAAGTATAAAATAATCCAGAGTGATTATGGCAGCTAACTTAATAAGAATTGTCTTCTGTGCTAGTATCTGTAAATCCTCAGTTGCGACGTCGTTATTTTATTCCTAAGTTTTGTCCTAGGAAAAGAATTGAGCCCTCAGATCCTTTAGTAAGGCTCTTGAAAGCTCTTTGGATGGAGCACTTCAGTGGTATCTCTGCATTCTTCCCCAGTAACCTTCTGATTGACTACAATGCTGATTTGGTAGACTGTGCTGAAAAGGAGAAGGTTGAGGAGAAATTCTAATCTGAGAAGATACAACATCTCCTCTGTAAGGCAGCAGATCAGGTGATTTGTTGCTTTACTGACTTGTTTATCTTTTGCCTGATTCTTGCACTGCTTAGGTTAATTGCTGCCATGTATGGATTTAATGAATGTACTTTGGCACAGTTTAGAGGAATTACAGTCCTTGTCTGACCTGAAAGCATTGAGAACAGCGATAATAGGACTAACACTTGTCCAAAGCTCAACAAAATATGTTTTGAGGGATCTTATCATGCATAAAGAGGATAGAGCAGATCCTTTGTGTTATAACTCAGTTTGCTTTATTAGATTAAAAATAAACTCTTTATTTTTCCTTTGAGAAACATTCCCTTGGGTGTTATCAGAAAAAAATACAGAAAGATAAAAACTTGCTTCCTGGTTGTGGAAACATCAAAGTTGCCCCTTTGTTGTGTATTTTTGGAGTCTGTTCCCAGATATATTTGTGGGTCTAGAGGGTGTATATGAGATCACTGTGGAAACAACTAGAATAATATATGCGGATAAGGACTTGAAAAGCTTCATTTACAGCACAGATACCTTTTTCAGGTGCTATCTGTAGCTATACTACATTTTCTGACTTTATTCTTACTTGCCTAGAACAGTGTTATGATTCACATATTGTAATGAATTGTAATGTGGTGCTCCTGCTGATCCAATGTACTGATACATTTGTTCCTTATGAATTTGTGGATCTCCCTGCCTGCACTGAGTTCAGATGCACCCCAAATATCACACAGCGTAAATAACCCTCCTGCAATAAGTAGAATGGTACCAGAACAAGCTTAACCCTATCATTTTTCATATAGCAGATTTTCTAGTGAACAGCCCCAAGAAAGTCCTTGCCTATCCTATGAGCATTCCTGCCTCTAAACCCTTACCATTTCTGTCCTTGTGTTTGTAGTAGCATCAAGCACCCCTGAAGTGTGATGGACTTATTGGGGTAGGTTGTACAGCTGGGAAAGACAGATGGGATCCTTTTCCATATTTCACTTCTTTTGCATCTTGGGCCTAAGTAAGTGCATCTCAGAGAAATGCTGGCTGCAAAAAGAGCACAATTCTATCTACAAACAGGCAAGATTTTTTTTTTCCCAGAAATTCATGTGGTCCTGCTTAAAAAAAAATAAATGGAAGCCAGTCCTTTAAATCCCTACAAAGGTGAGGTTTTCCAGACTGCTGCTAACAACTCTGATAAAGTTGTTTTCTGTTCTGCTGACAATTACAGTGCATCCTGTATTAACAGCAGTTCAGAAGTTCACTAGCATATGTTGGTTCTTTTTCCTACTGCAGCTGTCATTTGAACACAGATGCCTAGCGATACAGCAGCACGCAACCTGCAGTGTCACAGAATAGATTAAATGTTATCTGTGCTAACATGCTGAAACCAAACTGTGTTATATACCTGTGTATTCTTGCCTTTTTTTAACATGTTTTCTTCTCACAAGCTTTCAGACCTTCAGTTCATAAGAGCATGAGTTCTTAAGATTATCCTGGAGCTCTGCTCGTGGCTCCTTTCAACAGCAGCGTTTTGCATTTTGAGATTCAGTAATAGGTTTCCCGAGGACCTGACAGTTTCTGGAGAAAACAATTGTTCAGCACTCAGAATGGTAATAGGAGTTTCATTAGAGGCATTTTCTGCCTAAATTGGAACCCAAATAGAAGTGTGTTTGTTGTGAGCTCCAGCTGCCGCATTCCCCCACCAGTTTTGGGAAGGGGCTGCCTGGTTGCAGGCTGATGCTTTCTTTGTGCAGTAGGCTCAGGGCTGCTTCCTTGTGCAGTGTCCCTGTTTCCTCTCTCCTTGCTTTCACCTTGGTCCCCTTGCTTCTCTACTGTGAAAGCTGCGTCAGGACTGTCCTGGTACATCCGCACGTCACTTCAGCCTGCCCAGAGCTATCCCAAATGGCCTCGCAGCCACCAGAGAAGGCATTATCACAGCTAGGTGCTCCGGTCAGCTCCAGGGCCCCTAAAGCAGTGCTTTGCCAACAGCCCAGTTAGATGGAGCTGATGCACAGCATTGATGAATAGGAAAACCCGAATGTAGACAAGATGTGTGTAAGAAAACTATTTGTGCAAAGTTCATTTTGTTGTAGTTTCAGAATTTCACAAATTCAGCTTGTCCACGGTCCTTCAAAGCAAGGCTTGGCAACAGGAGAAAAGGAATGGCACGTATGAGATACATCCAGGACTTCTGCTTTATTGCACTGACAGAACCAAATTGTTCAATCTGTTGCCTCATCTGTTTCTTGCCATAGCTGGGAGTTGTAAAGGTCAGGCCATTGCAACACAAAGAATGTAATAGTTAACATGCTGCATCTCACAGTGTTACCAGCTGGCTAGCGCGTCTCTCCCGTTGAACATCCAGGCTCTTTCCCAAGAAGCATGAGCAGCATCCTCTGCCTATTTTGGGAATGCGTCAAAGTCAAAAGTTTCTGGAAGTGGCAATGCAGAGTGGCCAACATTGTCAGCCTGCTCTGATGCCCACTGCTGTGTTCTGAGGGTGCTGCTGCAGCTCAGCAGGAAGCAGTCGCTGCTGCCCTGGGAGATGGGGTCTTTTGGTGCCCGTACAGCAGGCTGTGCTCGCTCACATTTCCATTCCTGCTAGCTCGATGGGTGCCTCCAGCAGTGTGCCGGCCACCCCCACCCCTTGGGGTGCTGCTGAGTGCCTGGATGCCAAGGATTTGGTCCCACAGGTCAGGGCTAGGGCTGCCCTGCTGATTGCTGTACGGGATCTGCTAGTACAGGGGAAAGGAGCATGGCTATGAGTGCAGCGTGATTAGTGTATCCAGATCATAAAGATGTGTTAGGTACTGAGTGATACAAAGAAATAGGTGGGAGCCTGACTGGCACTGTTACTGAAAACATTTTCTTGTTAGCATCTCACCTTCAGTACTGTGTCTTCAATCCATCGGCTTGGTGCGCAGGCAGACTGAACGTGCGTTGTCTTACTTCCGACCAATCCTAGTTTTCTTCTATATCCTTCTGTTTTTCCATGCTTTTTTAATATATTAAATGATGAAGCTTGGATGAAGATTGATGACACCTTCTTGGCAGTGTTTGCAAGACAAAAACAGAAGGAAAAGCCAGGTGTTCTTTCCCTCTGCTAAGTGCATCGCACTCTTGGATGCATGCAAACCATTCCTCTCAGTATCCACTGGAAATGTTCTTGAAACTGAGAACTGTAAGCTCTGCTATCTGGGTTTGAGGAATGGTCCTAACAGCCCAGATTTGCAGAATCCAGATCGATACTTCCCATCACATCACAACTCTCAAGTTAGCTCCAAACAAAGTGCTTCATTCTGATAATACAGGTTGATTTTTGTGTTGGCTGTTGGTAGGCATTGATGGATCATTCATGCTAGCAATTTAAAAGACAAATCAGCATTGCTGGAAATTTTGTTTTTAAGAATAGCGGGATGGCAGGAAAGAAATAACCACGTAACAAGTAGGCAGTGTAGCAGGGCTGCTAGTCGGATACAGTGCACCAGCTTGTTCAGTACAGACTGCTCAGTGCCCTGGCCTCTGAGCACTGCTTGGCTCTCATGCCTGGAGCCTGCATGCAGCCTTTGTGGCTGGCCCTGGGCACAAGGGAAGTTGGGCACTGGGCTGTGGAGATGTGGCAAAGCTCCAGTGGCTGTCATCTTGCAGCTGGTTCTCTAGGTGGGACCGCAGCAGGGCATCCACTGTGCCCTTGGAGGCGAGGGGCCGTTGCCTTACACCTATTGGACATAGTTGCTGTTGTGTGCTTTGTAAATCGGAGTGGCTGAAGAGATGCTGCTTTGGCATTGTGGTTTTGATGCACCCAAACCATGAAATGATCAGTTGAGTTTAGGTTTCTAAAATTTACAAGCAGATTTTTGGGCAAGTGTAGCAACATAAGAGGGGGGAACAAGCTTTTTGGCAAATTCTGCTTGCTAATATTCTTTGGCTAAATCAACTCAACTTCTAATGTTCAGTATCTTAAGATTCCTGTTCTCTTGCTGTTCAGGGTAAAATACTGCCATAACTTGTCCTTTGTTTCTTCAAATCTTGATAAGGTGTCCAAGCTGGCATTTGAGTTAACGGAAGGGCTGTGGTTTAGGTTTCAAAACTGACTTGGAATGCGTGCAAGCTTTCAGTGCTTTCTTTGGTTAAAAACCAAAGAGGGTGAAGGGGAAAGGGTAGAAGCTGCACTGATGCAAGCATTGTGTGATCTGTCCGTACGCCCTGGGTTTGACTGTTGGTGTGCAGCTTGTTCTTCAGAGTGCTGCTAACCGTGGTGTGCTTTTCTTACCTTGAAGGTGCCATCCTTGGCAGATCAGAAACACAGGAGTGCATCTACTACAACGCTAATTGGGAGAAAGATAAAACAAATCGCAGCGGCATTGAACCCTGTTATGGAGATAAAGATAAAAGACGGCACTGTTTTGCTACATGGAAGAATATTTCTGGATCAATTGAAATCGTGAAACAAGGTTGCTGGCTGGATGACATCAACTGTTATGACAGGTAAGTTTTCTTGTAAGCTTTACTTGTAAGTTTTTGCTATATTGCTTGTCTGTAATTATTACAATCTCTCTTCTGCAATTGGTAACTGAGACAAAAGATTTGTATGGTAGCCTGCAAATAATTGCACTTGTGCTTTTGTCCAAACACGTGGGATTTTTTCCTTACTTAACTGTATGGACCCAACTTCACCTGAGTAAGTTTATGTTATTTACAGAATAGCGTGTGCTGCTCTCTCTCATTCAGTTACTATGTACTAAAGCTTGTAATTTTTACATATTTAGGCCAATAGACTTTTTTTTTTTTCCTAGCAACTTACTGTCAAACAGTGCAAATAGAGTTACTGAAAACAGAACTTGGAATTTTATGGTTCAGCTCTCCGAAGTCTTTGGAGCAGGATGGTCAATACTTGGTGTCTGTGCTTTCCTTAAATCTGAAAGCATTTTGCCTGTTGGCTGAAAAGCTCACCTCGCTGGCAGTCCTGGGAGACACTGAGTATTTTTAAATTCCACTCATTTTAGTGTAACAGATGGTGTAGCAAGTACCCGTGAGCATTAACAGCAGGACTTGTGCTTTGTTCCTTACTGGCTGAATAAAGGTCGTGACTCTTTTAAGAAATAGTATTGCATCTTTTAGGAAATAGTGCTGTAGGTCTTTGAAGTACTGTACAGACTGTTATTTACCCAAAACAGTTGATATTTGGAAAGGGAAATAATTAAAAATAATAAAAGCGTGAAATATCGTTATGAAAATGAATTTGGAAATTATTTTTGGCAATAGTCTAGAAAGCTTTCCTGTTGTGTTTGTTGAATGAGTAGAAGGAATCATTGTAGTGCTTTCTACCAAATAAAGTTTCCCCATGCTGGGATGTTTTTTCCTTTAACTGATAGCTTAAAGCTAAGTTGAACCGTACTCCTGACTTTTTGTTTCTCAGAGAAGAAGCAAAGCATCTGCAAGGTTGCTTACACAGCATGGTTGAAATCCTGCTGTGCTGGAAGACAGAGGACAATTTCTGAAGAAACCTTATTTATTGCTACTAGTATGTAGTAACAGTAAGCCAGAATGGGAAAGCACTTTGATTTCTTTTTAACCTCTTTTAGTTGTGTGTTTGCAGAAGAAGTGGAAATATTTACATTTTGGACTGATTTTATTTCTGCTAGATTTTGAACTTTTAGGATGGAGATAGAATTTCTCAAATTGGAAGTAGAATTAGGTTCTGTACCATTAGCATCCCACTGCTGCAACTTGTATCACTGAACAGTCTGGAAAAAAATCAGCACTAAGTCCTCCTTGCAGCTAAGAAAAGAAACTGGAAGAAGGGATAAAGTGCAGGAGGGGAACAGTTGAAGTAAAAGCTTGTCTACGCCCTCAGTAACTGTAGCTTGTCAAAAGAATGCGTGCTGCTGTGATTGTCTAAAATACCCATTAAGCAAAATCTTATCTCCTGCAGTTTACTAAACAGAGTTACAGGGTGATGAACTCCAAGAAGCAGCAGATGAAGAACATCAAAGAATGAATGTGTTAGGGACATTTCAGCACAGTGTAATTGTAATAGCCAGAGCTGTAAAATAACCTGGGTTTTGAGGATGGACCTGGAACTCTTGCGGAGGTCTAGCAGTGTGTAATGTCTGCAGCTATTCCTGCAGGATCTTCATGCTCACTGTCTGCTGTCAAGTTGTTGCCTTCTGCGTTACTCCTGTTTTTGCCTCCTTACTTGAGTAGCTTGAGCTCGTTAGTTAAAAGAAATCCTGCTTTTTATCCTCCACCTGAAATAAACCCTTTTCCTACATGCAATGCATGTGTGAAGGAGAACTCATAGAATCTCAATGTTTTCTAAAAATGCAGTAAAATAATTCTACTTCTTAACTCACAGTGAACAGGGTTGCAAACAGTGGAGATGAGTGCTCCCCATTTGCTCGTTTGTTTTGCACATGTAAACAAGCATCTTGAACTGATCTTCAGTGCTTCTGCCAGCTCTCCTCGAATTTTGTGTCAGAAATGGCAAAACGCTCTCTTCCAGGTTTAGTATTAATGATACTTAATTATTGCAATATAAAATAATAAGTCTTCCTCACATCTCACTGCCATTTGAGTAGTGAGCTATTCTGGGTAACTCGCTGAAGCTCCCTTGAAGTTTTAAGTATTACCAAATGTTTTCTTTTCACCAAAATAGACAGCATAAGATTAATAAGGTTTTTTTGTTATTATCTTTTATAGGAATGATTGCATAGAGAAAAAAGACAGCCCTGAAGTGTTCTTCTGTTGTTGTGAAGGCAACATGTGCAATGAACGCTTCTTCTATTTTCCAGAGATGGAGGTCACACAGCGTAAGTTGGTCTTAACACACTGATGAAGCAACTGCATAGCAGAGTTCAGAAATGTCTGATATTGTGTGTGTTCAGGAGATGAGGCTTTCCAAAGTGTTACAGTCAGTTTTTTCTGCCAGAAGGGTTTTGATTCCCAAATGGTAGAGAGCTCTGTGCATTCATATAACAAACCTAGAAAGTTACCAGTTTTTTTTCTTCAATTTTAAAAGCTACTGAAAGAAAGAGATATAAATTCAAATTCATAAAACGCACTCAGCTCTTTTCTAAAGGTGAGAAGAAAACATAATGTGAAATAATTGGCTGCTCTAATATACTGGCTCTTACCTTAATTGTACAGGTAAGCATTTATTAGGCTGTAATCAGTATCATCTACATATGCACATGCCAGCCTAGGAATGCTCTTCTTCATGAAAAGATGTTTGCAGTGTTTCTTTAAACTGGCTGACACAGTAACCTTTACAAACTTCAGAAGGATTTCTTCCTAAGTTACATCAGAGCACATCAGGTAGCCACCCTTAAACTGTTCTAAGAGAACAATAACTAGAAGATCTTTGGGTTATCCTTGAGTATCTTCTGGTCAAGAATCTCATAATCTTTGCTAGAAGGCTATCAGTGTTAATAAGTGAATTGAAAACAGCAGATATCTTGTGCACCCATAGCCAGAGGAAGTTGTGATATTAAATAACGCTTCTGTGAGATTGAAGTGATCTTTGGTGACCCAAGAGATGCTCCTGTCAGTTTTGTTGGTGGTATTGCTAATGCAGTAATGGGCATTCTTCCTTGCTCTGTTCTGCCCCAGAAGCTCCTCTGGAGTTCTCTCTGAGATGCTTAGATAAGAGTCTTCAGCTAGAGGATTTTTACTTTCAGCAAATGAGCAGAGGCTCAATACGTTGGCAGATTATTTCTGGCCAGCACTACTTACTAATGATACCTTACTGTTTACGTTCTGAAAATGAAGCCTCTGTATTGATTCTTTTTTTTTTCCTTCGTGTAGTGATGGCATTCTTGCAATCTTTTAAAATAAAAACATCTCTTACACAGTGTAGATAGAGCAAGCACAGAAGCACAAAGCAGTTGGGCACGCTGGCACGTGAGTCTAGAGATCTGGGTTATCTTCACATCTTCTGAAATGCTACCTTTCAAGTATGCAGCTGTTTGATTATTAGAGTATGCTGCTCAATCAAGTGTTGTTAGCCTGTTGTACTGATTGCATGAAGTTTAGGTCAGGATGATAGATTTTTCCAGCACTTATGAGTTATGTACTCTTTGGTTTTTTATTCTCTTTAGCAACTTCCAATCCGGTCACACCGAAGCCACCTCTATTCAACACCTTGCTTTATTCATTGGTGCCTATAATGGGAATTGCAGTGATTGTGCTCTTTTCATTTTGGATGTACAGACATCACAAGCTAGCATATCCTCCAGTACTTGTTCCAACCCAGGTAAGTTGCTGCATTCATTTATTTTTTTTGTTTTGAAAGGTAAAGTAAAAACAACAAACATGTCTGAAGCAAAGAGGAGAACAAAATGGGCATCTGTTGCATGGCTGAGGTCTCCTGCTGCATTGCTGATTTGAAGGTGTCAGTGCTTGGTATCAGCAAAAGCAAATAATTCAGCTTCTACTTTCATAGCTTTGTGTATTTTAACTGATATTTGATGCATGAGTGAGGATCTATTTAAGAAACTATTTTGAGCTTGTGTGGAACTAAACAGCACGGAAGTTCCAGCTTAACGTTGCTGAGAGGTGAGGGAATTTCATACATCCCACTGCTTGTGTGCATGTTGTGTGAAGGTGCTCTCATGTGCTCCTGAGCCTTTTGTGATGCTTAGCTTACAAGAAAAATGAAGGAGAGAGGCTAATTCATAATGGCAATTTGCAGCAAATGGGAAATAGAAGCAGGAAAAGCATAGCTATTAAAGAAAAAAAGCATGGAACTGAACTACTGAACTACAGGTATCAGTTAAAGGGAAGATAAAGAAAATATATAATTGAGACATAGTCCGAGGGCTGAGCTCATCTTGTGGCTTCTGTTCTTCCTGTCATCTTTTTCCTCTTATTTCTTCATGCAAATGTTACATCTTGTCTTATTATGTCTCAATTTTATGACATTCTCTTTTACCTGGGAAATATTTTGAGATGGTTGTCCTAAAAATTGAAATGTAAACTGGCTCCATGGCATCAAAACCAACTTCTACAGCTGTGTGTGCGTAGTTCCTGCTGTTGTCAGGCTCCAGCTGATCCTGTGGATGTAACTGATAGCATGTAGTAGGATTCCTTCTATTCAGTTGTGTCCAGAGATTCAAGTGAGATTAAAAGGTCATTCAGGAATGAGGCTGAGACAACAAAATCCTCAGAACTGAAGTAAGAGAGGTCCCACACCTGCGATTTTGGAGTCAGATTTGAACTGAAGCTCCCTAAGCCAGTGCAGTGACTGCTCAGCTACAATAGCTCAGCTCTCATGCAGTGACAATTCAGTTGATCGTTATCTGAAGGTAAAACATTTGCCATTTTTGGTAGGATTGTGTTTTAAAAGGGTTGCATGCATTTACCCTGTACTGCCAGCTACTGTGAGGTTTTTTCTGTGTTAATGCTTGACGTCAGGGTGCTCCATGAAGTGCTATTACCTGTGGTTGAGAAATCAAATTGTTTTGGTTTCAGTTTCATAGTAACAGATAAGAAAAGCTTAGGAGGAGGCAGCGGACATAACTACATGCCAAAGGGTAAGAGCATAGTTCAGAGGGAAAAGAGTGCATTTCCTGCAACAAACCAACTCCATGTAGATCTGTGAGCATAACTGTTGCATCCATTTCTGTTTTTCTGTGTTTGGCTCTTTATGTCATCTCAGCAGACTTCATTGTAGGATTAACTTCACACTTCCCAGTTGTGTGAATAATCAGTTGCCCTTCTAGACTTACAGACAGCGTCAGAAAAGCAGGCAAACGTTAAATAACTGAATTTTGATTGTCTTCCTTTTTATTGTAGCTCTTTTTTCATGGTTTCTGCTCAGTGCAGGAGTGGACACGTCATAAATTTTTAATAAATAGGGTAATAACCTGTTCGTTAATGCCTAGATTGTATCTGTTGGGATAAGTATATGTTGGTGCATGAGCTAGTTATGGTGTAATAACATTTTCTTATCTTGTGGTGAATAGGCATGAAGGTTTGATGTGGAAAGTCAGGAAAAGTGACTTCTGCCTGAAAATCTAAATGAAATTATGGAAATAAGAGAGAGAAATATTCTCCCATAGACAGCAGAGCAGTGTTTCCCACTTAAAATTTGGTTACAGCTGATTTCAATGGGGAAACAGGAAGAGAGGGAACAGTATTAGTAGCTTTATAACCATAAAACAAATATTTAAATAATTTAATTAGTATATTTAATAAGTAGGGCATGAGTAGAGTCTATAGGCAAATGCATTCTTCTGAGTCTTACTGTAGCAATCGGTGGGATGGCTTAATTAGATGCATATCAGATATTCAGTAGAAAACATCAGTTTCTGTGTGAGATACAAAAGAAAAGGTTCTGCATGGCAGTGGGAGTGCTGAGCAGCAGTGTGCCCTGGCAGGAACCTTTCTGTCTGTAGAAAGTCAGGGGGAGGATGAGAAATGAGAGAATCGAGAGGAGGAAACACTGGAGAATAAGAAAAGTTGGAAGAATCAGGAAAAGAAAGAGTAAGTAAATAGAAAGTCAGTGATTCTGCTGTAGGGAAAGGGACTGCTTGGTAGATTTAAAAGAAAAGAAGAGAGAGAAGATGGAGAAATATGCTAGAAGGAATTCTGGAAATGAAAGAAAGGACCAACATCCAAGAAAAGGCAAGCAACTTCATTTTCTTTCGAAAAGAGCAGTGTATCACAACACATCAGGCAGGCAGGCAGTTCTGACACACACTGACCTCAGTCCACAGCTCTGTGGATTGCATTGGGATGTCCAGGTAGTTATTCTGATTTTAACAGGGCAGTGGTAGGCTTTGTGTCTCAGTTGGATGGCTGCAGCTGCTCTGGATCACTCCTGCTGTCCCACTGCTCCCCTGCCCTGCAGGCATCTCGTCTCTGCCCCCCACCATCAGTTGCACTGTGTGCATTGCCGTCTGCAGTCTGGCTAAAGCTGACTGTCAAATTTTGTCAAAATCTATCACCCCTTAAATTCTGTAGTGAGTTATTAGCAAATGCAGGTTTGCAAAATATATGCATGTTTATGTAAAACAGTTTGACAGAGCTATTTCATCTTATTTACGTTAGGACTTAGCGTGCAGCAAGCATACAGCCCGTATGCCTGATCAGTTTACCAGGAAGGCAGCTGAGTGTTCCACACACTTGAAACTGTGTGTTTTTGTTCAGAGTTACTCGTGCTCAGCCAACTTTCACTCCTGAGCACGGAGCATGCTGCAGATGAAGCACGGTGGCCTTTGTGGTCCAAAGCTCTCACTCAGTTTAGGTGCACTTCAGGTTTCCCCGCAGCATCCTGCTGATTCTCCTGGTAGAAACGTGAACGTGGATGGCAGGGAGTTGATCTGCTATGCTCATTTATTTTTTTACATCTCTTGAGCATGGGCCAGGGTTGTCACTCAGTGCTAATTGTGACTGCAGTGTTACCACTCTGTCATCCGATGGATAGGACCACAACCTATTTTATAGCATAACTGACACAAGTAACACTTCTGTTTTTTATCAGTTTGCAGAGCTGTGGCTCCCAACGTTTTGCATCCATGCTGCGCAAAGAAAAATTAACCTCATGTACTTTAAGGGCCCAAGTTATGAATATCTTACTGGATCACAGAGTTGCTTTTTTTGTTTTGTGTTGTTTTTAAAATAAGAGTCATCTGTTGTGAGGGTTGGAAAAAGCTTTGTGGATTCACATAGTGTCATTTTTCTTAGCCTATTTTTGTGCTTTCTTCTGAAACATTTGGAGTTGCTCGGGTCAAAGATGCTGCATGTGTTTGAGTGCTGAGCAGAAGAAAGCCCTGATCTGGACCTGTTTGGTGTGACTGGAAATTCAGAAACTCATAATGAACAGATCCTGTTTAAGCTCTGCCACTGTGTTAAACAGTGACATAAAAGCCACTTGCTTCCATATGCATCCTTAAAAGCAAGCTTGATTCCTAAGAACTACCATTTCTTTCTCTTCTCACAGAGGCTTGGTCGTGCTTTTTTTACCTTGTACATCTTGCTTTGTGTAGCTTTTCACCCATACTGAGCACATCAATCTTGTATGATTCATTTTTTACTACTTCCTCCATATGGATGAACCTCAGTGCTCCATCTCGTATATGGAAGGCATGCCTTGTTTCCAAAGTCCTGTGCTGCACAAACCAAGATTTACTCTTAATTGGAGCACACAGATCAGATAGAAAGAGATACTGCTCTGGTCATCCCTCTGGTCTTGATGCTTTGAGTCCCAGAAAGTGCTCTGTGTTGGATGGCTTGCTCCTATCACCATCAGACCACCTTCAGTGCAGCTTTTCCTGAAGATGCTGAAGTGCAAGTAAGCCCATGTAGCTACATCATGATTTTGCTATTTCAGTTTCAGCTGTAAGAAGTCAGAATTGAAAGCAGTTCCACTTAACAAAGGATGAATGATGATGAAAGAAAATGATTTATTTAAAAAATCATGGGAGTGTAGGTACTAATGAGTAAATATTTTTGTGGTTGATATTGGAGGAGATTTTCACTTACTGTTTTTATTCCTTAAGTTTGAGCACGCCAAATAATCTACCTGGTGTTGTTAGAATCTCTGGGACAATCTGTTCCTTTACCACGCTCAGAAAATTGCAGGTGGCTGCTGAAGAATGACAAAAGGAAATGAAGTGTTGAGGTTTTTTTTCTACTTTGCTCTTCCAGCCACTTCTGTTGCTGTTGTTCCATTTTAATAGAACCATTAAAACGCTTGAAAAATGAGGGGTAAGAAAGGGAGAGATGTTTTATCAAGAACACGTTCCAGATTTAGGAAGGTTTATGACCACTTGAAAAATACGCAGCTGTGTGAAATGGAAGGCATTGCTCAACAAAATAAAACTGGGGGATGGACGTGGGAAGAACTCCTTTTGAATCGTGGGTACAGGCTGGGTTGGAGCCTTTGGTTTGCTAGGAAGGAGTGAAGGTCGAGTACTTGCCGGTCATTGATGAATCATTAACGTGAAATGAGTGGCAGTGTTAGTATTAAAAAAGGAAGAACCAAACTGCATGACTTCATATTCTGTCATGATGCATTTGTACCTTCGGGTCTAATGAGAATTCCTTCCAGAATTAATTCCAATCAATAGCTGGAGTGACACGAGAGGAAGCTCTGATGCCATCCTTTGGTCGTGGTGCTGGGATACCTGGCTCAGGGACACTTGTCAGAGATGATCAAAGATGGTCTTTGTGCTCTGAAGCAACCGCAGGAGGGCTGAAGCAGCCATTTCTGGCAAGTGTGCCATCAGCTACCTGCCTCTGGGAGCTTTTTAGTCACTTTCCATCACGAAGTCCAGTGCTGTGTCCTTAGATAGGCTCTCCTGAGTGTTTTAGGCTGATACCTCTCAGGTATGCAAGAACAATTCCTTACTTTGCGTTCTCTGAAGAGGTTGAGGGACTGTAAGCGAAGGTGCAGATGTCATAGTTAAGGCACTGGTTAGGAACAAGGGAATGAATTGGTGGTGTGCATTTATTTTGGAATCAGATTTTTGTGATGTGTCTGGAGTTCAGACAAACAGCATGGGGTTTTTTTTCCAGGTGGTTACAGATATCACAGCCATTTCCCTACTCCCAGTCTAAAGTTATGTGTTTGTGAGGATGGTGGCTGTTCTGTGGGGCTCTCAATTGCTCCCAGGTTTTATTTCTAAGAGTTGCATTAATTGCTGAAATGAGTATATTTGCATTTTGGTAGTAGCCAGATAGTGCTTAACCTGCTGATATTTGGACATCTAATGAAAATTGGTGGTCTGTATCTGAATGGCAATGGTCTTAATATTAGAACGTCTGTGGTGTGCATAAATCTCTTTGAAAGTTGTCCTTTGTGTGATGTGTTGGGGTCTGGGGGGGGAGGTGATCTCATTAAGAGAGCGACGTGGGCATTGGAATTGGCCTTCAGAATTCCTTCTTTGTATTTTCTCACTGTGCTAAGAGCAAAAAGTTTGTATTCCTGTGCCTTTTTACTTCTCTCTGAAGAGTTTACATAATTCTTTGGAACTGGAGGACTGTAGCAGCAAACAGACACAAAAAATTACTCTTAAACAACTTCCTTTTGGAGCCCGAGGAACGAAATTTGTTGAGTAACTATTTCACACAAGCACTGCTTGTTTATTCATCTGCTGCTTCAATAGAAATGTGAGCATATAATAGATGTGGCAATCAGCCTGGGCAGAAGCTGTTCCCTATCAGATTCAGAGATGGAGCAGGGTTGTTATTTTGCTTGGCTGTTGTTTCAGGCAGAGGAACATGGGCAGCTTGCAGCAGGAACATCAGTGCTCGTGGGCTGTGCAGTTTGTGCTGCGGTGTCAGAGCTGCATGCACCGCATGGCTGCTGTCGTGCTGGGGCCACCAGTCAGCGAAAGAAAATTGGTTGAAGAGGTTTTTTTAGTTCTCTTTATGGCGTTTTCTCCCTCTGATGAAGTGCCTGATGTATCTGCAGGCTGTACAAGGGCTGTGGGGTCTGTGCTGGGCTCAGGGGCTTCAGCCACCTGTGGCGGTGCTGGCTGACCCAGGAGGGCTGCTCCTGCCACCCACATGACAGCAAGTTATAAATCAGACCCCAGCTAATCTAGACTTCAAGAAGTGCTTCTGCCCTTCTGTTATTAATTATTTAGATAATGCTAACTGTGTGCTAGACACTTCTTGAGCTGAGGGAAGGCTGTTGTTGGCCCCAGCTCAGTAGAATCTGAAGAACGTAAAGGCAAAGGGAGAAGGAGGGGATGACTGCTGCTACGTGGCAGCTTCAAGCCTTGGGTGTCATGCTGTTGCACTGTGATCAACTGTAAAGGACACAGAAAATGACTGAGGCAAAAGCTGAGGAGAAGTAATGAAGGCAGCTCTGAGCTTCCCTGCTTTGAAGCAGCGTGAACAAGCTTGTCTCATTGAAACGTGCTTTAAGTTTCACTAATAGAGCTCTTGGACTTCTGTTTTTGTAACAGGATTCATCCAGTGGTCTGTGAACTCGTGATTTGTTTGTAATCAGTCTTAAACATTATAATTGTACCTTGTATGTGTGGGATGTGGCATCTTCAGGTTCACTTGCCCTGGTCCCACTTGCAGCACGCCAGATTCACTGAATAAACTTACTGATACAGACCCAGCGTGTGAAGACCTATTGGTCAGCGAGCTTTGGTTGTAACTCAGACATCTCAAAGTTTCCATTTTCCACAGCTAGATGCCAATTACAGCGTAGGCTCTTAGCTTAGAACTGAAATGCAACGGTGCCCTCTACTGTGCAGTTGGGAGCATAACGAGCTGAGTTGCATAACTTGTGTTTGTAAGTATGTTCTGCATGTGTTTGTACGCTGTTCTGCCGTAACGTTCGTGTAGGCACCAATAATGGGCACTTCTGTTCTGAATTATGAGATCGATTCAGCTGATGGTCTGTATTACAATCTTTGGTTTTGCTCATTTTTTCTTTGCTGACATACCAATGATGTTTTTATTTTCCATTTTAAATGCTCTGTAACAGGAAAGTTGCTATCCCCATGAATATTTTTTGTTGTTAATTTGCAAGCAATTTATTTTGTCTCTTTTCTTATAAACTGTTTTCTCATCCCATTCTTGATGTAAATAGTAATTTCTTTTGCCTGTGTTTTTTTCCCCCTCAACAAGCACGCCTTTCATATAATGATTGAGGTAAGATGCATTGATGTTTGTTCATGGTTATGGAACTTTCTGTGGACTTGTAAGAAGTTGTTTTGGTACGAATTCCATTCTTTCAATATTTTTAGACCAGAAATTTGTAAGCATGCGGGGTTGAAAAACAGAGATTCAGTCTGCTGCTCGTGGCTTTCTTGAAGCCTGCTGTGATTTCCCAGGCTATGGAGATGCACATCTGAGGGAGCAATGTGGAATGCACCAGGAACGCTGCAGCCAGTGCCACGTCCAGCCTGCTGCGGCCCTGTGAGAGGTGCGGGGCTGTGCTGGGAGGGCAGGAGGTGCGAGCAGCCTCTGCCTCACTGCAGGGCAGCAGCACGGCCTGCCCAGCACTGGGTGTCCACTGCAGTCCTGCAGCTGGGGCTGCCTGCTGTGACCAGCTGGCATGGCTCGTGTGTGAGAAGCAGAGGGGTTTGGTTTGAGGAGAGAGGTTAGCTGAAGTGCTCTGTCACCATTCAGTCTCTTCTTTGACTTTATCGTTGGTCAGAAGTGATTTTTACTTGCATTTAATGAATGGTTCTTCATTTAAAAAACTACAAGTAACTGAGAACTGTTTATTTAGAACCACTCTCATTACTGTTCGGTTGAAAAACCAAACAAGATCTGAGCTGTGGTCTGAATGCTCCATTTTTGTTGTCTGTATGTTTTCTACATAGGTCTCATGTTCACAGCTGAAATGCCTTGTGAACATCCTTTAGAGGGAAATAGAAGGTTGCTATCTAAATATTCTGAATATCTCACACCTGTGAAGGATCATCATTCTGTTCTTTGTACTGTTTTGCTTCAAATGGCTTCATTCCAGTTAGGGAAAAATAAGTGTTATGACTACAAGCTACTACCTTGTTTATATTAATAACATTTTGATGCAAGTCACTAGATTACAGAACCTGAGTTCTGACTCTTACTCTGTTTGGGTTTTCGTGCGATATCTGATTGAAAATAAACTCAAAAGAGAGAAATGAGAACTCGTTGACCACGTGCTAATATAAGCTGTAGAGTAAATGTAACCAAGGGGAAGTAATGCTAAAGTTAACACAGAGAACGTGCATGGGCTCTGAAGTTTAAGAGCTTGTGTTTATTCTGGAGTCAGAAGAGAGAAATGTCTTTGTACAACCACACGTGGGTTATTGATCCTTTTTTCCCCCCCCCTTTGTTACACATGTGGAATCATCTGATTAAGTTGTTGTGTGAGGGGAATGACTGGAGATGCACTGTCGTGCTGATGGCTGGTGTTGGGGCAGCCCTTAAACAGTCCATCCAGTTCGTTGTGTTTGGCATGGATTTGTAGTTTCCCAGTCGTTGTGCTTCTGGCTGATGTTCAGAACCATTCCCCACTCACTTCAGGAAACCTGAAAACTGCTTCTGTTAAGGCAGCTCTCCTTTTCATTTTAAATCAGGATTTGTTCTGCTCTGTGCGTAGGGTTGTGATAGTTCTTCACAAGGAGCAGAAAGCTTTGATCCCATAGAAGGTTGCTGTATAACACAGAGGGAGAACATTTTTGAAATGCTCAGACTTGGTAGGAAATGCAGAGCTTGGGAATGTGGGAAGGATTGCACTGGGTTCAAGTGAAAGCAGGGAGCAGTGCTTTTTGCTGGCTGGTTTTGACGTGGGGTGACTGCCTTCTCTTGTGATGGGTGCTGCAGTTCAGATGTGCTCATCAGATCTTTGAGGGGCACAAGTGCTCTTTCTGTTTCACGATCAAGGAAGAATATTCACGCGGCGTGCTTCAAAATACCATCAGGTTGCTTTGGACAGGGGTGCAGAAAGGAAAGCCACTGGGGCCAGGGAGGTTTGGGTTTATTCCCACAGATGGTTCCCTCAGTTCAGGTGAGTCCCGAGGTTGAAACCTGGTCACACAAGTTGTGTGATGGTGTGGTGTTCAATCTCTGGATGGCACACTGCCTTACAAATAACAGCTTTGCAATACTCAAAATAGGCTTTTGTGAGTAAATCTGGGCATCTCTTTTCTAGCTTTGCACGTCTGCTTTTGCCATTTTTGTCAGTGCTTCAGTTTGAGGACAGTGAGCTCCCTGCTGCCTGAAATATTCATACAGGTCTTTGGCACCAAATGAACGGCAGCACAGGAGAGGAAACTTGCATGGCTGTGTATCAGCAGCTCCAGGAACAAGAACTTTATCTTGTGTTAGAAGCAGGTTTTAATTCTTGAACTTCAAGCCAGATAAACACAAGAGAAAATGAACCCAGCTACGTTGATATCACAGCTTTATCTGTGCATCTATCAATTGTGTTGGCAAAAACATTTTATAGTTTTTAGAGGACAGTATTGTAACTTCTCCAGTTTGTATTTCAATATCATATTTCTACAGTGCCAATTTCTGATTAATTTATTTGAATTGATAGGAAACTATTGATGAAACTAGTCCTTTTTTAAAGGATGCATTTATTCCTTAGCAAGAAAGAGAGTATGGTTATTTATTACTGTGCTTAAACTGCTCAGAACATGAATTGGTGAGAAACTCTCGTCTCCATTCTCCCAGCAGTGAAGTGTGCTTCAAAGCACAGTTGTTCAGCACAAATGTCTTTAACATGCACGAGGATTTTGATGGTGGGGGGGGAGCAGAAGGGAATTGTACATTTTGGGCGTTTGAAGAGCACACTTGGTATTCTGCAGTGCAGGAGTCACTGAGAAGCAATACCTGCCTTCCATTTGTAGGTTCTTGCTTTCGTTTGTAATGTAAGGCCTCTGCTGAGCCGTGCTGCCACAATGTTCATCCCCTGTCTGTCTGCCCGTGTGCCATCACCAATGGCAACACCACTGAGGATGGAGGGGAGAGAAGAATGGTAGGATGGGGCTGCTGCTCTTGGTGGCAGTGCTGACAAGCCCTCCTCCAGAGCCACTCTGCAGCAGGCAGGTATCAGGCAGGAGGGCCCTAACTCTGGGTAGAGCGCTGCTGTTTGAGGCAGGGGCATCGCATGTGGTTGGTGGTGGGGACGAAAACAAATTGTGTACAAGCTGCCTTGAATGGTGGGACGAAAGGAAAGGACAGCCCAGGAGGGAGCACCACTGGGGCAGCGAAGTTGAAAATGTACTTGTTGCATTCAGGTGACGTGTATGCTTGAATAGGAGGTGCGTTTTACTGTTTCAGTCCATCAGCAGGGTGCAAACGTTGAGATACAAAGAACAAGGTGTTCTCTGGAATCCCATTCCGGAGAGCACTGGAACGTTGGTTTGTGCTTCCTCACCCCAGCGTGTGGGGCTGGGGGTGCTGGGGGTCGTGTCCTGCACTGGCTGTGTGGTTCAGTGCTTCTGAAGGAAACCATCACCGATGGGGGAGGGTTGTGCTGCTTTGTAGCCTTGTGCCCCAGCACTGGGGGGGCTGTGGGAGCAGGGCTCAGGAGAGCGTGGTAAAGGCAGGGTGAGGGAAAGCAAAGGTGTTTGGTTGAGTTCCATCGCTTGAAAAGGTACCAAGTGAAACTTAATTATCCTTATCCCTTAATTTTTGCTGTGCTTCCATACCTGGTTAGACAGATGTGTACTGTAACTGTTGTCATGCTGTTGCTTGCACATAGTTCTGAGCATGTCTCACAGTCTGTTTTTGTTTGTTTTTTTCCTTCCTGTGGAGAAGAGTTGCTGTTTTGTTTCTGATTTGTTTGGGGGAATTTGTTGCAGGAGGGTTGGGTATATGCTGCCAAGCCTCAGTTGACAAGGCTTTCCTTTCTAGATCACACGTATTGTAATAGCAGTGTTAATTAATGGTGTTTACCTAATTTCAGGATCCTGGACCACCACCGCCTTCACCATTGATGGGTTTGAAGCCACTGCAGTTGCTAGAGATCAAAGCCAGGGGACGATTTGGGTGTGTGTGGAAAGCTCAGCTGCTGAATGAATATGTTGCAGTCAAAATATTCCCTATCCAGGTAGGCAGAAGTTCTTTGTGTCCTGCACTGTCAACTTACTGTACTTCAAGCTGTGTTTTCTAGTCACAGTGAGAACCTGTTGTAGAGAACTTTCATCCCATACGGTAAGTCTGGTTATTGCAGAGATGTTCTCAGGAGTGGGAAATACCTTCAGCCAAAGCATGTGGGGTTTTATTAAATGCAGAAAGTGTTTATCAACGAGACCTGAATTCTGTGCAGCCTTAAAGCAAGGACAATAACAATACCTGAACGTGAACACTTAAATACTGCTTGCTGTTCTCACATCTTTCCATTACTTGAGATCTAATTAAGTTGTACTTGGAGTAAATGTAAGCCAGTAAACAGATGTTCTGAAATGCAACCCTGTAAGGTGATTGTTCCAATTAAATGAAATACTGTTGACTTCCCAGCAAGTACCCTCTGAAAGCCACGTTTAGAACAGGTTGTGCTCACAACAGTAAGAGCAAATTTACATAGAGTCCAGGACTGTCACATACAGTGACACAGGGTAGATGGTACCTCACTTACAAACAGCCACTGCTGCTACCTGGAGCTTTGTGAAGACTTGCAGAGTGCAGACTGTAATCCAGATCTACAGCTTTCTGTGTTTCCATGATTCCTGTATCTGATAGCTGGTGTTGTTTTCAGATGATACAACATACTTAATTTTTCAGACAATTTTCCACTGTGCTGAACATGTAATATATGTGAAGAAAGACCATTTTTCTGTTCTTGTAAATGCTGAGTAGTTTGTAGAACCAGTAGCATTTCTAAATATTTAATACTGAATACTGTATCTAAATTTCTGTCATTTTAAAGTAATTACTCTCATAATGCTGACAGTGTACACTGTGCTTTTACCACACTTTCCAATAGGTAATAAACTCTGATTTGATTACAAATAAAACAAAACCAACAGGTTTTCATCATAATGACAGATCACTTAGCAGTGCATGGGGAACTACAGGAGGAAATGTCTGACAGAGGGCCTCTGACTGTGGTATTAACTTGGTGTTTGGTGTTGGTTTTGCTTGTTGTTTAAAGGACAAACAGTCGTGGCAGAACGAATATGAAATTTACAGCCTACCTGGAATGAAGCACGACAATATCTTACAGTTCATCGGTGCAGAGAAACGAGGCACCAGCATTGATGTGGATCTCTGGTTAATTACAGCATTTCACGAAAAGGTTTGTTGCAAATACGACCTTCAGGTAGTTGAACAAAATGTAAATAGCTTTCACTTACCGTTAACTTCTGCTGGATACGGATTGATTTCAGTTTCTTCTCAGCTAGCTGATACAGTTGTCGTCAGGCTGTGCTTAATAAAGAAGTTGGCTTACAAAACATAGAGAAAACTGTTCTGCCTTTGTGCTTCTCACAGCGTGTTCAGTTTTGCATGGCCCTCATCTAAATTTACCTGCATTAAGTAGAACTCCGTCTCGTGGAGATTGTGTTGCAATGCTATCAGTTCTGGCATTTTTGTCCCATTCATGCCTCTTCTTTAATTGCTGAGAAGATTAAAACTATCAACTGCTTGCAGACCTTCACAGACAGTGGGTGACGCCAAACTGATTTGCCTTTCCAAAAGGATACTGCTGTCGTTTTGGTTTTGTCCGAGAGTTTATCTGAGATGACTCTGGAAAATACAAAAATATATCTATTTTTAAAATGTAGTTTCTACGCTTTGACAGCATTCAGTCCCTTCTTCCCTTTTCTGTTGGCTTTTCCCATGTGACACTGTGACACATCAAGCTGGAGTGTAAATCCATAGTAAATCCAGGAGCACGTGGGGGGAAGTGGAAGTGAGTTTGAGGAGAAGTGCTTTCTATTGACTAAATATTGCTTCACAGTCTCTCTCTATTCAGAATATGTACTTGCATGTTGGATTCACAGTCATTAGTCCCAAGAGAAAAGAGACACTATCAATTAAAGGGCTCGGAGGGTGCGTCCACAGTTGAGCACATTCCTGAAGGTGAATCTAACCTGCAGTTGCCTGTGGCTGGAAGGCCATAAACCGCCCTAAAAAAGCTTTTTTGGGTTGTCTTCTTCGTAAAGAACTTAATTGTGTAAGCTCCTATTTCTGCTGTGTGCAGATTGTTGGCGTGTGTGCCACGAACTTGAGCTGACTTCTGCTGCCCAGTTATCGAAGTGACACATGGGCACATCTCCATTCTATTCACAAAGATGATGCAGAGGTTAATTTCTCGTTGTAGTTTGAGCTGGCGGTACATACGTGTGTGCAATGATAGGATTTATCAGAAAACAGGAAGGCAGATAAGCGTGGCATGGTATTTTAGGATGCAGGCTATGTAGAGGTTTTCCTTACGGCTTGATGGGAGTGAAATTTATCTTAGCGTTGTTCTTTCTTTGCCACACAGGGTTCATTAACTGACTTCCTCAAGGCTAACGTGGTATCCTGGAACGAGCTGTGTCACATTGCTCAGACCATGGCTCGAGGCTTGGCTTATCTCCATGAGGATATTCCAGGGCTAAAGGATGGACATAAACCCGCCATCTCACACAGGTACGGTGCTGTGAGGGATTTGCAGCTGATGGTTAATGTTTAACCTGGAGCCAAAGGACGTGAAATATGGATGGATACAAAGTACTCAGAAATTACTGTGATAACTTCCTTCTGTAGATATCAGGAGCCTAATAAGGAAAATCTGCCCGGCCTAAGCAGAAAGCTTGATGTTTTATAGAGGGCAGCGGGGTGATTGCAATTAATGTGACAGCTTTTACACAGTCACTGAAGTATCCTATGCAGTATATAAAATAACTGACAGTACAGCTTTTGAAACAACTTACACACTTCTGTGTGTATCTGTAAGTAACACTGAGTGCCTTCAGATGGAAACATGCTGTAAGTGATGGTTCTGTGTGGTATTTCTTAATACTATGTATGTATATGTATATCACTTCATATGATATTTCATGTTCTGGATTTCTAATTCTTTTCTTTAACTTGAAAGGGACATCAAGAGCAAGAATGTGCTGCTGAAAAACAACCTTACAGCCTGCATTGCTGATTTTGGCCTAGCTTTAAAGTTTGAGGCTGGAAAATCTGCAGGAGACACACATGGACAGGTAAGGATGGATTGTTTACAGGAACAACACAGCTGTAACCGGGTGTGAACAGAAATTGATAGTGTGTGCATTCTTCATGTGAAGGATGCTGTATCATCAGCTCCATTTGACCTTTAAGAGAGATGGCAATTCTGACCTTCTTCTCACAGAATCAGTTAATGTTACTCAGTGCTGTAGGCAATTAAAGATGACAGCTTTTTGTCCCCTGCCCCTGTCTCACTGCTTGCCCCTTTCCTCCCATTTCACACTGACGGGCAGCTCACCTCACCACTCTCTCACTTCCCTGCTTCGAAAGCACAGGGGGAGAAAACACAAGAGAGAAAGGCCTGTGGGTTGAGATGAGCACAGGGAGATCCCTCACCAACTCCCATCACGGGCAAAACAGATGCAGCACAGGGGATGAGTTTATTGCCTGTCCCTCTGCTATGAATTCAGTGCTTACCATGCAGCAGGGAGCTGGCTTTGTGTCGTGTACTTCTTAAATAACAAGCTTGAGCCTGGAGCATTTTGGTTTCTGAAAAACTAAATTTACTCCATTTGAGGCAGAATTTCAGTTTAGGGATAAAAATAAAATCCTTATGTTAAGATTATAAAACCTCAGTAGCACCGTTTAAGAGAAACGTATCTATTATTGTGGAGGCTGAATGTTCAGACATGGTGAAAGCTCTGATTTATTCAGTGACATAATTGCATCTGTTGGTTGTGGGCAGAATGAAGGGGTAGCCCCAGAGTTTCCATTTAACATCCAGATTTGCATGAATGTCTCCATGTAACTTTTTAGGTTTAAATTGGTTTTCCTTTGGTATTGTTACTTCAGTCGGGGGCAGAGGCATAAGCAAGTTCTACATCTTTATGTGCAACTGTAATAATTCTCAAAGAATGTATCCAGAATATAAAAAAATGAGTGGCCTTCCTGCAACCTGAAAGGGAATAAGGAACAGTTTTAGCAAGTACATTGAATTATTTGTAGAAATCTGTTATTTGAAATTATATTCAGACTGTCCTGCTTCATAAATATCCTTCGTAGGGCCAAGTTTGAAAAAGAAGCACAAAAACACTTCCTCTTATTCCAGAAGAATAAGATTTAGTTGTAAGCCAAGATAGCCATGGCTGGTTTGAATCTCGGACAAAAGTTAGTGCTGCTCTACACTATTTTTATAATAAGCCATCTCAATAAAATGTTTATAGTGGGCACATTGGTTCTGAGTGTACAATTTTGTTATGTCTGTGTCTCTCCAGGTTGGCACACGAAGGTATATGGCTCCTGAGGTCCTAGAAGGTGCTATAAACTTCCAAAGGGATGCGTTTTTGAGAATAGACATGTATGCCATGGGCCTGGTCCTCTGGGAGCTGGCATCACGCTGCACTGCCTCAGATGGTGAGCAAAATACCTGATTGCAATGCTTTATTAAATGGGAAGAAAAAGGAAGGTAGGTCATATGCATGCAACAACATGCATTAAAGATGGTAGTGAGCGAAGGAATGAGAAATGAAGAAGATTCTGCTGCTGATTTAACTGTAGGTGTGAGTGAGACACTGCTGTGGAAGCTCAGTGCCTCCCTGCCCAGTCCTTCTCTTTGTTGGCACTGGTGTGATGTGAGTTTTAATGGGTGTCAGGAATTGCTGATAGCTCAGAGACTGAAAACACGGCTGTGTCAGCAGTGTGCAGCATGGGCTGTTAGCTGGGAGTCTGTCACAGCTGTGTGTTTTTCCATGAAGCAAACTGTTCAGTTTTTAAGCTATCAAGAAAAGATTTCCAGTGCTGTATTTCAATACGAACGGTTCTCTTCGATTGTATAAGCAGACAAGCTCTCACAGTGTCCAGCATTAATGCAGGACAAGACAAAAGATGAGGCTCAAAATATTTGGGGACAGTTCAATTTGGAGTGAAGTCTTTAATGAAACTAACTATGAAAGCTCTGCTTGGGCTTCCGCTACCATTTGTCATAAGAGTTCTCCTGGACTGCTCACTGCAGCTGGAAAACATCCACTGCAAAGCCAGGGTGTAGTGGAGATCTGAGATGAGCGTGAGGCCGCTCAGTGCTTTTCTGCTCCAAATACTCCTTGCAGAGTGGGAGCCACGAGGGAGGCTTTTGCCCTTTTAAAGATGTTAAGCTGTTTACTAACGGGATCGATGCGCTCTCGGAGGCAGACCCACATTCTGTATTGATTTCTCTTGCCTCCTTGTACTGTAAAACATACTTACCTAAATCTTACTAGGAGTGTGTTGTAGATCTCTCTGGCAGGTGTGGTTATTATTCCAGAAAGTGAGGGAGATGTGAAAGGAAAGCAGCCTTCCTAAGTCACAGCTGTGTGCAGCTCTGCAGTCACAGCTGCTTTTTCTGTCTCTGAACTGCCTTGTTTTCTACAGATACCTGGAGTGCTCACTGAGCCTCGCTGGGCTCTGTGCTGTGCTTCTCTGTTCATCTTTCTCCTTTCCCTGTGCACCCCGTGTGTGGCTCCCACGGGTGGGAGAGCAAAGGCTGTGAGCTGTCAGCGAGGGGCTGAGCTGCTGCTCGCCTGGCGCAGTGTGAGCTTTAGCAGCACCAGAAGTGAAACTATGCTGTAAGCCTCTGATGGGCTACGTTTCTGACACAGAAATCTGCTTTCCTTTAAGCAGAACTTGTGGTTTAGCTGTCTGTTTGTTTGTTTGTTTGTCTCCAGGCCCTGTAGATGAATACATGTTGCCATTTGAAGAAGAAATTGGCCAGCATCCTTCCCTTGAAGACATGCAGGAAGTTGTGGTTCATAAAAAGAAGAGACCTGTTCTAAGAGAGTGTTGGCAAAAGCATTCTGTAAGTAGTTCTTTCTGGTGCTGTATTTCAAGTATGAACAGTTCTCTTAAATTTTATAAGCAGACAAGTATTTATGGTGTCCAGCATAAGTACTGCATCAGGTTCTGCTGTGCTTTGAATTTCAGGTACTGTTAATCCTGGGTGGTGTTCACACAGTTGTCTTTTAGGAAGAATTTAAGCATAGTCAAACTTAAATGAACGCCATGAAGAAGTTCCCTCTCATCTTGAGTGAATTGAAAGTACTTTTTTTTGGTTAAAGATTCTTTGGTTTTATGTCTGAAATGAAATCATGCATGATAAAAGTAAACGTAAGAAATAATAATCTTGATTTCCTCCACGAAAGCTCCAAGCAGTGCATGCAGTAACACAGGGTGAGCAGTGTGGGAAATTCTGGGGGCTGTGAGGGAAGAGTAACTTCTTGAGTTGGCTTTGGGCCGGAGACTTGCACTGATGCTGCTGTGCATTCCTCGCACTGTTTTGATTGGTTTTGTTTTGCTTTGTTTTAAAAAAAAAATGGGTTATTGGAAGCAATAGATGACAGTGTCTGCAAGGCAGATGTGTGCGCTGCCATCTGCTCCCTGTGATCAGCACGCTGCTGTGCTGGCTGGAGAGAAACGAGCTGCTGCGGGTGCAGATCCCCTTCTGTACCGTTTGGTTTCACGTTGTCCCTGCGTAGCTTCACCTCTTGAGTGCGAGACCTTCCGAAGTTCCGCAACGACTGCCAGCAGATGGCAGCGTCGGACGCAAAATAAACAAGGTGTAAAGGCCCACGACGTGCTGGCTTTGGAGACAGATTTGGCCACGGGGATAAAACGAGGCAGATGTATGTTAGAGCGCAGCCCCCTGCACGGAGCTTGCTGAGCTCGTGGCACGCTCCCTCACCCTGCCTCTGTTTGCCCGCAGGGAATGGCGATGCTCTGTGAGACCATCGAGGAGTGCTGGGATCACGACGCAGAAGCCAGGCTGTCGGCGGGGTGCGTAGAAGAACGCATTATTCAGATGCAAAAACTAACTAACATTATAACGACAGAGGACATTGTGACTGTGGTCACAATGGTGACAAATGTTGACTTTCCTCCCAAAGAATCCAGTCTATGATAGTTGCACTGGTCACGTCACTGACCAACGGGACTCTCGACTGGAGCTGCTAAAGCTAACGGGACTGCTGTCGTCGTTGTGTTCTGTGTGAAGCGACCGCGGGGTCTCTGGGAGCATCTTCAGGAGGTGCTTCCCTTTCTGCTCCCCCTCCTCCTCCCACACACGAATCCATGAGACTTTCTGCATTCCCTGCTGACGCCGGAAGGACGCGTGATGAGGTGGCAGTGTGCTGCTCAGGGCCTGGGACGAAGAGCGGACCTGGATGGGCTAACGGAGCGTTTTAAAAACTGACATCAGATTTCTTAATACCTGTCAGAAGAGACTAATTCCTTAAATGAACTACTGTTATTTTTTTTAAATCAAACATTTCATTTCAGATTTAAAAAGAAAAAAAAAAAAAAAAGAAAAAAAAGGGTAACTTGTTTTTATTGCATTTGCTGTTGTTTATAAAGATGACTATTGTAATGCCAATATGACACAGCTTGTGAATGTTTAGTGTGCTGCTGTTCGGTGTACATAAACAAAAGTAATCAAGTGGGATATAGCAAAGAGGCTTCCAAGTATTACTTAACCTCCCTCAACAAGGTATACCTCAGTTCCACCTCTGCTAAATTATGAGATTGACAACACTAACAAAATTGGAATAATAAATTGATCCGTGTTTTGTAAATGATGTATTTCAAATTCACTGTGTTATTTAAAAAGGGTAAGCTATGCTTCATGCCAACAGTAAATGGCCATTCCTAAAGCAGTGTTTTTAGCCTTTTTCTTGTACTAGCTTGTTGTGTATAAAAAAAAAAAGTGCTGTTTATTGAAACGACCTTTTCCTCCCTGTTTTAGTTTGAAGCTTTTTCTCTTACCTCTGTTTCCCAGAGTATCTCATACATTTATTTAATGGAATACTATTTAGGTTTGCTGTGTCTGAGGAATAGTTGAAAGCTTAAGCATGACTTTTTTAATTTTCTGTGAGCTGTGACACTGGAAAGCTCTGAGATCTTAGACTTTTTTTATTTTATTTTAAAGAGAAGTTCTTTTTCCTATTTATGTTTGTGACGAGGTCTGCCTAGCGTGTTCTCTGTCTCACTAAACAGGATGCAGTGGCTTCTGTGTCTCTGTTTCAGGATCACCTCAGGAAGCTCAGTTACCCCAAATTCCTTCCTCTCTGCTTTGAGATTTGCATCTTCGCTCTACTTCAAGTTGGTGCCATCTTATCAGCGTACTGCTTGCTGTCTGTGATCCACGGGCTTCTCCAACCCCAACTGAAACCACCGCCACACTTTTCAGATGCTAAACACTTACAGATGTCAGGGATAATTTAGTCACAGTGTAACTTAAATATGCAATGACAAATCAGAGGTAACGAATGCCGCTGTCCGTGCCGCAGACTGGCAGAAACGTAGGGAAGAACAGTGAAATTGCTTTTCACAACTCCAATGTTATTTTTGAGTTTCAGAAGTCATGCCTTACGTGTAAATTATAAATGGACTGGTAGATAGGTGCCAAAGTGCTTCTCAGAAGTACTGCTCCACCAGGTTTATTGGGTCCTTTACACAGAGTACAATAAATGTGTTACACCTCTGGATTACAGAACTGATGTCAGCCAGTGCTGTGCTGTGTGTTTTTATCACCGCATGTTTGTTATCACACCGAGCATTGGAGGGCTTTGGAAATTAGCCTGTAATGTTACAGTTAGGGGCTCACTGTGAACGTTACCTTGGAAGATTGGTCTGTACAGCCCCAAGGTGCTGTTCTACAGGGACTTCATCTCTGGCAAAAATAATGGAGGTTACAGCAAACAGGACGTAGGTCAGTGTGCTCTCAGCAGGGAGGGAAGGCAGGGCTGCAGTGCTGCTCTGTGCTGCACTCCCTGTGCTGTGTCACACTGCTGCTCGGCCTTCTGCTGAGGTTCCACGTGGCTCAGAAGGGTTGATGCTACAGCAGGGTGCAGCTCCGTGGTGTTCAGCTGGGTCATAAGAAGAGAAAAGAAGCTGCTTGTGGCCACTTGAATTGACGTTTTCATTTTGCTTCCATTTTTACTCCATGGATGCCATCTTCTGCACTCAGCAGGGCATAAACAGAGCTGCTGAGTTCTGAACAAATAAGGATCCATTTGTATTTTGCTAAAAACCTTTGTGCTCCCATTGAGTTTCAACCCGTTTCCCAGCAGAAGTAGAATAAATACAGGCCAAATTCTCAAGCAAAGAGTGGTCCTGTCCAAAACACACAGCACTTTTGTGTTGTCCTCTAGGCTTCAGCCACTGCAGGGTCTGGCAACGGAGAGCTGCACCCCTGCACATGCTGAGCTTTGCCCCAGGAAACCAAGATTGCTTTTCTTCGTGTTTTAAAACTGCATTGGGGTATATCTGAGCTTTATATATATATATATATCTGAGCTACTCTGAATTTCCTGATTTGCAACAGCGTATTTCAGTGCAGCTGTGAAAAAAGATATTCACAGTACAAATGCTTTCCAATTGGGTCGGGTACAGCTGCTCTCGCAGGGCAACTCCGGTTAACTTCTGGTTCACTGCTGGAGCATTAAACGTGCAAGCTGAGAAATGTCAGAGCCAGCATTTTTGGAGCATAAATGCAAGCAGGATGCAGCGAGGTCGATGCAGTGGAAGCATTTCAGCATTACCCACGTGCAGTCAGTGCCTGCTGTCCCTGTGTTCTTTAGGAACAAACGCGTGGCTGAGCGCTGCAAAGCTCCCCGGTACCTCAGCTCCTGAGGAGAAGTCAGTCCAAAGACCAACATTGGTGCATTCACTACAACACAACCAGCCAGGAAGACGGCCAGGAAGCTCCTGGTCCTGTTAGCACTGGCCAGAAAGAACAGGGCCCTCACTCTGCTCTTTTTCCAGCTTCTCGTTTGTAGCCTTTTTTAATACGACGCCGTTTATTAGGAACACTTGGTACAAAATGCAGAAAGCTGTGATGTGGGTTCATGGGCAAAACGATTCAAGTAGCATCCGTGATGGAACATCTTTTACCTCAGATACTCAACCAGCAGTACTTTTTTTTTTTTTAATTATTATTTTAAGTGCAGTTTCAGTCCATACACTATTCGTTACCTCTCAAGACTTTGGTAAGCAATTATTTTAACTTTACTCTTTGTATTTGTCAGTGTTTTGGGCACAGGTTGTTGTACTACTGTCAGATGTGCTTGCTGTTTTTCTGCAAGTACGAAAAACAAACCCTCCCCTCCCGATAAAGTGATTGTTAAATATTGTACAAATACAAATGTATGCTCTTTTTCCCCTATTCCCCCAAAAGTTAAAATAAAAAATGTGACTACTACGACTCGCAGATGCTTTTTTGGCTTGTTTTGAGTTTGTGACACCTGAAGAGGAGAAACAGCTATTTCTCTACTTCTGCAGTCATTTCCCCAGCAGTTCTGCAGGAGCTGCTGTTGCTCAGCAGCACTCAGGTGCCCCCAGCAGCACTGCGCAGCACAACAGGGGGGTTGGAAGGGTTTGCAGGTAACTGAGCTCAAACTCTGAAAACATTCAGCTTCATCAGCCCAGCCTTTAGGCTGGAGATATCTACCATCCTATTCTATTTTCTTTCCCCAGCCTGCAGTATTGCAACTGTACATCTGGTCCTACAAGTGGCACTAGACTGAAGTTAGACTTGGTTTTCTGTGAAATTGTAAATCACTTTCAGCATAGATCAGATACGTGGGTTCAAGACCACGAAATAAAGCCACTTCCACCTGCACAGAGGAGCTCTAACACAGCCTTAATGGGCAGTGTTGTGGAAACGGTGACCTCGTCCACAAGTACAGCATTGCAGTCTGCAGCAGAGGTGCAGATCTCCCCCAGCACTGGGATAGCTCTCCTCCTGGCATTGCAATTGAACCATTGGACCAAGGTTCTCAGATTTCCCACCCTGACCCTCAGCAACAGGGGTCTGAGCAAAGGTAAAAGAGAGAAGCTGCTCCAAGCAACCCTTCTCCATCCCCATGCGCAGTCCTGCAGTGCCCAGCCTTCTGCTCCTGTCCCCACTCTTTCCTTCCAAAGGACATAAGAGGAGGGGCAGATAGCTGACACCAGGCTTTACAAATCAGCTCATAAATGGCAGCTTTGAATTATGCTCACTGGACTGCAGAATGAACCAGCTGTTGTTGCTGATTAAATACTTCTCTTTCTGTAAATTTTTTCTGCTTAAAAAACCTTGCAACCAATTTCACTTGGTTTCCATTGCATCCTGATAGTCTCACGTACATTGCCTAAGCCACCACTTGGAGGAACCACACCACTGTCATGACTCTCCTGCTAAATATTTTGCTGCCTTTCAAAGCACCGCTGTGTCCTGTAAGATGCACAGACAACACCTTCGAAAGTAAGGCAGCAGAGGAGGAAAGCAGCAGGACAGAGAGTGGGTGGGTAAGAGAGGCAGCTTCACATAAAAACACCACTTAGCAGATGAAGCTGGCTGTGAGTGAAGGTTTGACCTGACAAAGCTGTATTGCAGATGGATCAGAACCTACAGCCTGAAAGCCACAACATCTGCTGCAGTTTGCCACTGAGCTGAAGCAGTCTTAATCTGAGGTGAAGAAACTCAGAAGAGCAACTGCTTAGATCTCTACAAAGTAAAAATAGTGAGGAAAAGGGTTTAGCTCAGCTCAGTGCTTTTAAGGCCTTCTTATTCATTGCTATTACATGCTCGTAGGACCGTGGTGCTTCAAAATTAAAACAAATGCAAAAACAATTGGCCAAGCACAGCAAAGAAACCTCCTTGCAAAAATTTATTCATCTGACCCCCGGATTGGGGGTGTGACATCCCGCAGAGACTGCAGTTACCTCCACATGTCCTGATGCAGTGTGCTGTGAGGTTCCAGACGTTCACAACCAACTCAGCGACGACGCTGCCCACTGCTTGACGTCTGTGGGGCAGTTGGGATACGCCTGCAAAGCATCCATGATTTGGTTGTTGTCCAAAAGCAGCTCCATTAAGAGGTACTCTCGCTGAGAACGCACCGACGGCCTCTCTATGGGCTTCACTAATTCCAGCTGCAGTAAGTGTTCAAATGCCTGAAAGCAAACCAAAAAAAGATGAGAATGAAGACAACATCGCTCTGAGCCGCGCTGGTTTGAATGACACACGAGATGCTGCTTTAATAGAAGCTTGTGATGTGCTACAGCAACAGACAGACATTAAACACCAGCTCTGTTCTGCCCTATGCCCATTTTGGTAGACAGCGAGCCACAAGAGATGAATAGAATAACAGTATTTTCTAAGAAAAGCATACTTAAAATCTTTTGTATATACTATCAAACTCAGCTTAGAAGTGACAAGATCAGAGCAGCTTTGGACTGCTAGTTGCAGAGTTAAGTTCATGAACTGAACACACCTGCACAGCCACGTGTTGGGCTGCTGCCCTACAGAGACAAAACACCACTCAGAGCCCAGCCTGAGCCCAGCCAAATGCCAGGAACAGAGCAACAGCCCAGCAGCCCCAATGAGCACCAGGTAACCAAAGTGACATTTGTCAGTTTGCGCTTCTGATTGTAGTTGGTTGGAGGCAAATACTGTCCTCCTACACCACACACTGACTCAGAACTCCACTCAGACCTATTCGGAAGCGGACCAAGAAAAACAGGTTTTTGATGTGGTAACCTTAGATTCAGTTTGGGAAACATTACCAAACAGCAGAAGCAAACAAGCAAGCTGAGGACAGCGACGCATCCACATGCACACACAAATGCCTCCTGTAGGAGCACGAGCAACCTGTGCTAACGCTCATTTCTGCCGGCCACCACACTTAAATCGGTGGTGCTCATTTGAGAACCAAAGAACCCGCAGCGCGCCGCACACATTTGAGTCCTTGCCGGACCGCAGCGGGCAGAGACCAGCAGAGGGCAGTGCAGCACCGAGAGCACGAAGCGGGGCTGCGGCTGCTCCCAGCACGGCTCTGCCGGCACGGCCTCCAGCTCCGCCTCAGCGCGGTGCGTGATCGCCTGCCCTGCCCGCGCACCTGCAAAAAACGCATCTAAATACTTCAGGAAAACGTACGTCTCGGGTTTACCTTCATAACGACGGGCTTTTCGAAGTTGTACATGCAGTGTGCCTTCCTTTGGATGAACTTCTGAAATTCTGCAGAGGTGAGAGGCAGGAAGTTACTTGGGGTGAAGCCAGAGATTTATTGTATGTAGAACTGATGCATTGCTCTCACCATTGTAAACCATCTGGAAGTTAAATGGCTCTCCTTCATAAACCTCATTTAAGTGTTTCATAGCTATAATTAGGCAGATTTCCAGGACAGACAAACCTAGAGGGAAAGACAAGACCTCTAAGTGTTTTTCTTAAGCTTACCCGAAATGCAAGCAGTTCATATGCAATTTTAAATACTTTTTGTAAGCTGTAGGCTTCACATATTTGTGGTTTTTATCTTCCTAATTGTAATGAAATTCCAGAATGGGGAAGCTAGATAAAGCAGAGCATTAGTTCTCCAGATATTTGAAATGAGAATGTTAAGAAGCTGTTTGTCAAAACCCCAGAAGTTTAACTATAACAAAAAATCATTATTGCAGACAACAGATGTCCAGGCTGGATGTGGCTCTGCTGGTTGGTGACCCTGCACATAGCAGGGGGTTGAAATAAGATGATCACTGTGGTCCTGTTCTACCCAGGCCATTCTGTGATTCTGTGATACAGCATGACAAAGAATTTTGGGCAGCATCAAATCCATCTACATGCTGCTGTACAGCATGTCACGAAATGAGAGTTTGAAGGGGTTACTTGCCATGCAGAGCTAAAGAAGCAATGCAGTGAAATGCTAACAGGACACTGGGATTCACAGGGCCAAGCAAACCAAAGCCTGCAACTTCCAGGAGCCAAGAAGCAGCAGTGGGATAAAAGCAGTTCCTCCTGTAAAAGCATTTGGGCTCTGTACCCTCAGCAGCTGTTTCTTTCTTTTCACTGTTTGCACAAATCCTCAAATGTTTACCAAAGAAAACTTCAGCATGTTGCTCAACACATTCAGGAAGGGAACTCCTGGATGTTCAGGTCCAAGCAGCACTACCTGCAGGGTTTTTTTCATTCAGACTCCCACCGTCACCAGCACAGAAGGTGTTTTCCCTTCTTCTGTCATCGCCGTGGGACAGAAGTGCCACCCCTGCCCATGCTACCAGCACTTTCTTTGGCACTGAGAGCCATCAGACACACCGTAGTGGGGCACTGGCCAAGCTCCCCATGCAGTAATTACACAAATCCTTCACTGTATAACTGAATTTCTGGTTTATTCACCACTGCTGCATCCACGCACAGATGTAAGAAGGCAGATAAGTGGGGAGCAGCCCTATGGGTAGATGTATTCCCCGACCCAGCCATGCCCTCAGGGATCAGTGTGTTACACAGCAGCCCTTACATCAGAAGAACCTCAAGGATGGACTGAATGCTTGCTGTACTATTAAACACACAGACAAAAAAGGCCTGAGCTTTACCATGGACAATATTTGCTTTCGAGTCCATCCTGTACTGCTTGCTTGCCTCCTGAAGATCTGATGCGGTGATAAGAGTGTGACGAACAGTAACATTACTTAGAGCAAGCATCTAAAAATAAAACAGAAGGCATTTTTCATTTAATCACTAATTACCAGGCATACTTTCTACTCAGAGATGGAATGCAGAACAACACATTTCCCCTGGAGTCACCTACTGGGAACAGTCATGAATAAACCCTACACACACAGTATGCTCATACAAAAACCCTGTAAATAGCTGGTAGCAACATCTATGTTTTGCCAGGAAGGTTTTCCAGGCTCAAAACTTTAAAGCCTCCTCACCAGAGGACATAAACACTCATTAGCTTGTTTATATTAATTTCGATGGATTAGCATACTTCAGTGGTTGCTGCAAGAAATTACTTACAGCTATTTCAAACAGACTTCTGCATGCAGAGCTACTTGTGTCACTGCTAGGAAAGCATCTGATGGCAGCTCATGGTTTACAGGAGGCAGGGTACCAACCAAGGGCGTCTAATAAACATTGCCACTGAGTCACAACTTGAATCATTCAGTCTTCAACTGGCTGTCACAGAATGCCAGTTTTGAACAAACTGGAGTTAATAAACACACAGCTGCCTGACCTCTTTCACCACCACTCCTTCAAAGCTATGGATTATCCAGGACCTTCATACAGCAGCAGGTACAAGCACCGAGCTTCACTTGCTTTCTTTAGCAGTCCAATATTCATTGAGACAGAAAAGCTGGCTTTCAGTGACTGCCTCCTCCTTTTGCATGTCTGTGCAATGAAAAAATGCCTGTTTTATCTACTGAATGCAGGTCTTCCACTGAGATCACCCAACGCTTTCTACCACCACATACTTGTTTTTGTCCTCCTCCACTCCTTGCAGGACTCAGTGTAACAGCCTCAACAAGGAGCGTGATCACCCAGCTTCCAAAGGAACTGAACGAGGTTTTGGACTACACAGGCTAATAGGGATCAGCTCTGACACACCTTGGAGCTCAAAGAAAAGTTATTCCCATCAGCCATGGACTCTTTCTGGCATTCATCCATACCACACAGAAAGAAACAGGTGCTGCTGAACTGGGAATAGCTGGCAATCTTGTAACTAACTCAATGAAGCAGAGGATCAGCAGAGAAGAGACTCTGACCACGCTCTGCTTTCAGCATCACAGCCAGAAGCCAACAATCCACGCATCACAGGATAAAAACTCAGAGATGGGAAAAGCTGCAAACACTACGCAGGACAGCCCAGCACAAAGCTGAAGGGAAAATCTGAGCACTTGCACACGGTGACACTTCTGCTTGGCAGGTTTTTCACACAGGCAGAAGCACAGAGATATTTTGTGGTGCTTAAATTAATGTTACCCATCTTCTGTAAGATGTTTCACATAAAGCTCTGACAGCTGCCTCGAAAACAGCTGTGATCTTCACAGGTGATGGTTATTCAGGGAGATACTGTACCCAAATACATACCAGCAGGAAATGGAGCGAACGCAGGTCTTTGCTGTAGCGAAAGAGGTTCTGCAGTACATCTTGAACAGCTTTGTCTTCTGATAGAAGCTACAAAAGAAGTGGTATTTTCATCATCTCAGCACGTTACTTGTTAGCTAACCATCACACAGAGCTCAGCCTCCACTGCCAATGCAGTTCTTCATGTGTAACCTGAACTTTTTGGTCTTCTGTGCTACGCTTCTGTGTCCACACTTCAGCAAAGATTGTCTACTGCAATTTGATTTAACTCATAAGATATCATATATTGAAAGGAAATACTGATCTAAGACAAAAAGATCTTATTGTACAAGTTTTACTAAAGCCAAATATCAAGAGCTTTAGATACCTGAACGTTGCTATTCCATTTCTGTGCAAAAGCCTTGTCAGGAAAGTCAGCAGGAAGAGAAAGCTGCTCCTTGAATATCCTAATGTACTGCTTAAAAGTAAAGGAATTCATCAAGTAGATCTGTCGGTGAGAGAACCTCGATTTCACTCTCTTCTCCAAGAGCTCCAGAATATCCTTGTAAAAATAATTATTATTATTATTTAGTGCATTCTTTGTTGCAGTGGAAGAGACAATTAAAAACCCACCCAAGTGAATTCTCAGACTTCAGGCGTTCCTTTGCTAGTTACTGTCACTGACGTGCCTTGAAGTGCCTAAGAATTTGCCATTCACCCAAACCACGTGGTGCCCTACATCACACACAGTAATTAGTTGCTAGGAGACGTGGCAAATTTCTGCACAGATGCTGCAAATATTTCAGTTCCTTAAGCCTGAGCTCGAGACTTTGCAGCCCCTCATGGCTGAGAGAAGCTGTGTGCTTGGCAGGTACGGCAGCTGGCAGCTCACGTGCCTTCTGTCAGCCTGAAAAGATCCAGCTACAAAAATGCTGAGAGCCAATAGGTATCTTCCTGGGCTGCCACACAGAGCTCAGCACAGCTGCCATCAAGTTGGTGGCTGAACGTAATGCAGAAAATCTTATTTTTCTCAAAGCTGATAGCAATAGATTAGCATCAGAAGCAAGCTGTGTTTCCTCCACTTGGAGCAACGCAGTCCTGTTCCCCACACCGTCTGCTGGGGCAGAGCTATTACTGTTTCTTGCAATTTTTCCCTTCTCCCTTTTACTTGCAACAAAACCAGCTTTCAGAACATCAGAATCCCTCACCAGAAAGTGTGGTAAGAGTCAACAGAGCACCAACAGTGAAAAAAACTGGGCCTACAAGACACACACACACACAACAAGCAGTTGAAAAACTAAGCAGCAGTGGCTATCACAACCACAACAGCTTCCAAATGCAGATTCAAAAGCAGGGCAATATTGGGTTCTAAACTACGAGTGATGGAGAAGCCTGACTTGGACAATGGAGCAAAAAAAAGGACTATAATTTAATATATCAATTATTAACCATTCTATTAAGTTGTAGCAGTTTGCTCAGTTAAATACCACCCAAGCCCCATCAACCTCAGATCCAGGCTTCAATTAAAGATTTAATGATTATTGCTCATTAATCCCTTTGCAACCAATAGAGCTTACTAAGAAAAACACTATGATTTTAAGTATCATCTTCCAGTGTTAGCAGTAATTACTTCACAGTACACACACATAGCTGTCCTCATTTCCCCGCAGTGTCATTGTAAAAATCACAACAAGTTTAATAAGGGTTTAAAATCCATATTCAACATGCCAGTGTTACAGCACAAGCACCCCACTGAACTGTTTCCTTTTCAAAAACCTAAAGATAAAATAAAATCCCTTTTGCTCAGAATAACAATTTAAATATGAGCCAATCCTCATCAAAAAGTGACAAAGAGTGAATGAAATCATAATGCAAAACGGCCACATGGATAAACACAGCTCTTCTGTGGTAACATAGGACAACAGCCCCTTCTCTCTTCAGAGACACAAACCTGCTTCCTGAACAGGAAAAGTGAGGGTTCCCACCTTTTCGGTTGGCTGTGTTTGTGTCAGTGTCAGTTTCAATCCAAAAGTCACTGAGAAAGTCTCAGTGAATTAAGGAACGTGTCAGAGAACACCGCAACTAAGAAAAGAGCTGAATATTTTTGAGGTGCAAGTTCTTACCTGCCTGCATGTGAGTCCAATAACGGTTACTGGAGTCTGTGCTGACTGGGATACATCAAACAGGTTGTACAGAAGCGTCTGGTTCTTGTGATGCACAAACAAGTCAAATTCATCCAGCACAAACAGGACTGGGCAGCTGCTGGTTCTGTCTCCTGTGATAACAAGTTACAAAACGAGCGTGGTTGCATCACTGTCACTTCCATTTCTACACCTTTGCTTCACATCTCCTGCTCTTAATTACGTGCAGACTTACTTTCAGCTATTTCCCTGAGCCCTGTTCCTACACGTGTTCCTACATCACTGAAAAGACACACAGACAGACTGGTAAGTTTTATGCTATTTTGCCAAACATCATTTCTGGGTGCAAGGGACAAATTTCGATGGCTATTTTTTAGAAACACCATTTTTAATGGGTTCAGTCAGAACAAAAGAATCTACCCTTCATAGCTGACCCTCGCATGTAAATCTTTATGGCACCATTTAAGCCTATGTTTGTTTGGTATTACGCATTTTTTACATTATTTTGTAACCACAACATTCTTGGGCCTCCTTACAAAGCTTCTACAAGACAACGAAGAAACAGCTGCACGCTTTCCAGTCAAGTGACAAACAAGCACACAGTTCCAGAACGGGGCTGGCACTGCTTACCTTTCCTTAAAGCTTCAAGGAGAAACACAAGATTTTCTGCAAAACTGCCCTATACAGAGGAAAAAAGTTTCACAGTCATTTTGCAGCATCCTTGTCAGAATTCTATAAGCTGAGACGCATGGACAAGCTCACTTCCTCCTAAAACTGTGATAACAAAACCAGTCCACATTTGAAAAGCTACAGTGTTACTTCATGGTGTATAATCAGAACTCTTGCAGCAGAGGAAACTGATTGTTCCACACTGACAGCAGATCTCTGGCAAATCCAAACAAATTCCCTCAGCCTTAAATCAGTGATCAGAAGGATGTGTGTACCAAGTTCAACTTACAAATAGCATTTTCTTGTCTTAAATAGCCATTGCACACCTAATTTTCTACTTACACATACACAACACCCATCCCCTAACAGGTACCACTGAAAACCAGCAGACTCCCACTTTTTCACTTGCAACCTTATGAGATCAAACATTCCCAGCAGAAAACAGTAAACTGCTATGACAATTCTTCTTCAGTTGCTACTTCTGTGCCAACAAGAACGTAAGATGGAAATGAATTCTAAATGAAGACCACAAGCCCTGTTGAAGAACACAGAAAAGCCAGTTTCTGTGTTCAAAGTTTCCTCTTTGAAGGCGAGTTGCAGAACCTCAGGAAAGGTCTCTATGGACACAACAAGGACATTCCTGCAAATCAATCTGTTTGGAATTAGAAAGCGGTGAGTTTGAAGAAGTATTCCACAATAAGCTGAAGGGAAATAGTAGGGTAATTAAACATATTGAAACTTAGTTTTATCCGTAGATTTTACTTTTGGTAGTGGAGCTGTAGACCTTGAAAGGTTCTCCTAGTTCTCTGATGAAAAGTGAACACTTAATGGCCATGCTGAAACTGAGCACTTGCCATTTCCTTTTATGTCTGCAGCTACATTTAAGAAAACTTTAGCTCGCTGTCGTCCATTCTATGAACCCAAAATAATTTGGGATAAGCAGAAAAGCAAAGGCAAGCCTAGGAAGCAAGCATTTGCAAAAGATGATAAAGTGTGACTACAGAGCATTGTCCATCTTGTACTCCAGCCTGCCTAGTCCTCTGGAGCACCTTAGTTAATTAATCTCTGTGTTCCTGACTTCAGTGCTCGTGTAAGAAGGTTTCCCACCTTTGGGAAAAACATCAATAGAAGCAAATTATAAGAAAGTCTATGCAAAATGAGAGCTCCAAGAAGGCAGCAAACTGGATAGATATCCACAGACATTAGAGAAGGTTTCAAACTTACTAAAGATGGTGCTTGTGGGTCAGTTAATTTGCTTACTGTTTGTCTTGAGATGTTATAAAACTGATGTTTCCAAAATTCTCTTATCCTCTGAACACAGCCTCTTTGGAACGATGAATATTCATTTCGTACAGAGGATTCAGCTGAGTCTTTCCTCCATTTATTTATTTTAAGCTGAAGTGAACGTTTCCTGAAGTGCTATCCAAAACTAGCCATGTTCAGCACTTCTATAGAACAGGTTTTTAGGCATGCATGAAGTGTTTGTAAACCAGGGTCATTAGAGCCAAAGGCTGCTACATCCCTTAAACCAAGCCAGCCCCCTGTAATCTTGCGAATGAACATTCAAAGCCCATTTGTTCTCAACAAGCTGCATTCTACAAAGCTAGCTTTCTAGGCAAGGATTTGAGAGGGAGATAAGCAAAGAATATAATAAAGCTGATACTCACAAAAACTTTATCCCCAACCACATTTTCCAGGTGCAGCTGCCTGGTGATTTCTTTCAAGGCCACTTTATCATTTGTCTGCAAAAGCCCTGAAAGAAAATGACTGCTTGTGAAGAACTGGTGGCTCTCCCTCATTCCAAGCAGCCATGCCTACAACCACTAGAAACGTACCCAGAAGCTTCTCTCACTTTCAAGCCTTACAAAGGCAGGCCTTTGTAAAAATACAGACAAGATGGTAATTTTCCATATATATTACAAAGTTACTTCAAATAACTTGCTCCCAGCTGAACTGATTTCTAATGTTCTGAGAGAAAGTCAAGTTATCTACATGTACATGCAAAGGAAGGCATTCTGGAGCTAGCAGACAAGCATAGCCACACTCAAGGGTAGACTGGAAATGTCAAAACAAAATCTCTCCTGAAGTACACATAACACACAGCAGCTGAATGCAGCATATTTGAGGAGTGCTGCATTACTTGCCATTCAGATGAACTTCCAAGAGGTTCTCTTTCACTTGCTTCATTTCTCTGAGCTCTTTTAAGACGCGATTCAATAACTAGGAAAAAAGACACAGAACTTCTTTATAGCAAGATTAGCATATTAACTGTAACAAATATCTACAAATTGGTTTTCCTAGACAGCCAACAGTATGTGCAGTTTCATTAGGTGACAAAACTTCATGAGTGTTTTCAGAAGTGTTAAGGGGAAAACTTCACATTCACTTCATGACATATTAATGCTCCATAAGCAGATGCTGTTTATTCTGGATAACCCCTTATACAACAACCCCAGCTGTACCTTCAAAGCCAAGAAAATTTAAAAAATATATTTTCTGCACAGCGAGAACACTTGTTGCTTAACTAAAAAATTCACAGATCTAAGAAAGTAATCATCAATTCTACTTAAAACGTAGCAAGAAGCACAAAAGTGGAAGAATCCTTATTTATTATGGGTTTATTGGCTCTTTTTTTCCTTCCCTTCATAGTATTTTGGCAATCATCCTTCTTTCAAAGCACTGTGGGTAAAGAAAGAAGGCAACAGCAGATTGTTTTCGAAATACAAACCAAGAAATCTATCAACAAATTGGTAGAATGATTTCAAGTATCAGCTGTATCACGAGCGTGTTTTACCACCTATTCAAGTATTTATATTCAACTGTACTTAAAACATGGAAGGCTTAGCTTTAGTTCTTGGGAAGAGTTCCAAAGTTAACCTCAGACATATCTTTCAGTAAAAACTAACCTATTTATCAAATCACATACTGGTGCAAACATAAAACAAATGCTTACATAATAGGATGCTTTGGTTAGATGCCATTGCTTCACGTGCCTCAATTTAAAAATTCCTTAAATACACAAAACCCACACTTACTGCAAGCAAAACACATCATGTCCTAACATAAATAATGCTCTGTACCCTTGTAACTTAGATAACAGTGTTATCTGACACATTTAAAATAGGATTAAGATGCATTACCATTCTCTAAATAGAAATATGTAGAAGTGTACAAATCTGCCCTTGTGTGGGAACTGCTGAGTCACAGCCTGAACCACTGATGGAGCACCTGGGGGAAGGAGCAGGCAGCCCTGGGAGCTCAGGTGAAAGCAATTCTCTGTGAGACAGGAGGGGGTGCAGCCTGGCTCCACCTCTCTTAGACCTCATTTAAGGGCTGACTGCCACAGGGAAGGATCTTGTTCTGGAGGTTCTTCCTTGATGAAGCTTTCCCCTGTGAACCTGGAATCTTTTGATAAAGGTGAGCAATCTTTTTCCCTTTCTTTATGGTACCTTTCTATAGTGCTGGTCCTTCTGTCAACATACTTTTTCCATTGCCCTAATTTATCCCTCTGCTGTAACTCTTTAGTGTTTGCCTTTAGTTTTTGGATACCTGTTCAGTAATTGTTACAGATGCCTGATAGTAACAGCAGGTGAACTTTTGAGGGACTCATCAAATAAAACCTGGCTTTAATTGCAAAGATGAACACTTCCATGGCAAGCACTATAGCAGAAGTGTAAGTAATAGGAAAAATGCTGAAAGGCTCTATGGAACCTGGTAGAGACACAGAAGGGTTCTGAAACCATGCATTCTTCTGCAAGCCATCGTGAAGACAGACAGGTACATGGTTTTGTTAGGTGCAGATGAAGCAGCTGGATTTTTTTGTTGTTGTTGTTATAGTTGTTTTTATGAAATTACTATAAACTCAGCATCTGGAACACTTCAAATATTTGGTTTTTTTTTTTTTAGGAAAACTATTTCTCCATACAGAATTTCTCCACTCAATAGAATTAGCTCACAATAAATCCTAGAATGCTTTCTTGTTCTGCATAAACAACCAGGAGTTCTCTCCTTAAAAGCAGGCACAGAGATACAAACAAACTCCAAAAGCTCTCATGATTTCAGTGAGATCACCTCCTCCATGCTTTATTAAACTGTGTGCTAACTTGTAGTTTGTGCCCATACCGCAGTCTTTCCTGATCCACGGGGTCCAATAATGAGGGCAGAATTACTTTCTCCATGAACTGCAGTTTGCTTCAGCAGTTCCAGCAGATGCCTGCGATGTAAACAGCAATACAGTGAGCTTCAGATCAGGCAACATTCACTGCAATTAGGGGAAATTCAAAGAATCTTTCAAACAGAAGAAAAAACTCTGCATTTCAACTTCCTTTCAGCACATACACTACAAAATGTAATAGGAGTACAAAAGCTGAGTGACTTGACCTCTTAAAATACTTTGATATATTAAATCATGTGGAAGAGTATCACTAATTTACAAAGTTCTACAGTTCTCTACCATCAAAGCACAAACTTTAAAAAAAAAAAAAATCAATTCTTTCAAGAAAAGATCACTTTCTGTGACTCCAGTGTAGCACATGAATATATTGACCAGTCTTCTTTCTTCAAGGAAAATCTTGACACCAATAAAACAACTAATGATCTACTGGAATATCACTGATTTTTTACAATCTTGATTTTGTGCTGAATCTTTGCTCAAAGCTTATGAATGATAACAGCAACACCAATCATCGTGTTTGTATTCCATAACCACCCAAAGAAACAAAGTAAATTTGTAAATTTTCTTCAGAGAAACTGGTCACTTAGGTTTTTTTTTCCAGTACTTTGGATGTGATACTATTTCCAATTCACAAATACTTACAGATATATAAACTTAATAAGCTTATAATTCAATTAGAATGTTCACACTGCATGCATACTTTTAAAGAAGTTGTCATGGACTGGCTGTTGCAAATGTATTCACTTTTGCCTGCATTTGACACCTAACTATGGTGAAGATTTTAGCTGATTATGTTTCTACTGTGGCTGAAGTAGGAATTACTTATGATTTTAGTGGTTACTCACTTGTACTGCTGATCCATCCCAAACAATTTTCCCATAGCATGATGGTGACACAGTCTTTCACGTAGCATTTTTTGCACCTACAGATATAACACAAGACTGAGAAATAACACTTGGTACTTCAAACACCTGACTGTACCAGTAATGTAATTGATGTAGTAAATAATAGCAAAATATGCATGCTGCTGTTCTACACGTAAGTTTTAGCTGTCCTCCATGGTAGAGGAGTAAGAATTAAGTTGCCATAAGCAGAATATTCAACAGGAAAAATATATCTAGCAACAGCTATGTCAGTCTTCAGTTCCTTCTATTCCAATTTCTTCACTCCCAAAGGGCTGTTACACATCACCAAAATTAGCTCACTAATTCATAATTCTAACTTCCTACATAACATAGGCCTGAAAACATTTGCCAGCAGACTTTAAAAAAGTAATCCACTAATCCATCTCTGGCTTGCACTTAGACTTGCACTAAATAGACTTTTTGCACCACTGGTAACAGCACTGCTGCCTACAGTATCTGGTGGTTATAAAACAACAAATGTATCATCTTTCAAGATTTAATTCAGATTCACTGCTCCTAAAAATTGAGGGAGGAGAAGGGTAGGAGAAAAACTGAAGCTTCATGTTGCACAGAACAGAATGAAATTGTAAGCACCAGAATGACTATTGAATAAAGATCTAAAGTCTTTCAACTTTGTAAATATCTGTATTTTGATCATTTGTTGGGATGTATTTAATGGGATAACTTCAGATATATATCTGCATTGCCCTGTTTTCCACTTCAAAAACCTGTTGTTTGGAACTCTATCTTCAACTTTCAAATGTCCAAACCTCAGCATCACAGCATGTTTTTTCTACCACCTGGCCAGCAGCACACAAACTGGTGCATCCCAGTTTTTAAAAGCTGGCAGGACTCTATGCCACTACTTCTCCATCTCTGATATAAGCAGTTGAGAAAAACCTGCATGCTGCCATCACTTCATATTGCCTGAAAATCAATTTGAATGCTGTGGAGAACCTGCAATGCAGGGGGGCTGGATTTGATGATCTCTAATAGTCCCTTCCAGCCCCTACAATTTTGCAATTCTGTAATGCTCGTGTTCTGTTTGTGTTATAGCAGAGATTTTTAGAGATTAAGTTGCAAACTGCCAGTGAACTATTACTCCTTTTAAAAAAATCACATTTCAGCATCAGGCCTTTTAAGTGAATGTCCATCTGACCTAACAGTTACCTGTATCATTATCACACACGTCACTGCTGTCCCATTCTCTCAATCTGAGTTGGGTTGATCTTGCCCAACCCACCTGTTTGTTTTCACCTACATTCTTCAGTTGCACCTCTTAGCTGAATCCTTTCTCATTTTTGCAAAATCTAAGAAATGACAACAAAGCCTGCAGTTGACTCCCACACAAATCAATACTGAGCAAGCACTATATGCCAAATATTTCACATTTCTCCCATTCTAGGCAGTAGTCAAGCTGTGCTTGTCTGCCTGATTTTTCAGACACTGTTTTCTCTGCTGAAGTCATACTGACTCCATTTCCAGATTTATTCTGTTCCAATGACCCCCTGTGAACAGCCATCCATTCATAAGTGAAAAGGTTTTCGTGCTAGGAAGGGCTAGTCAGAAATTACAGAATTACAGGGATGGCAGAGGATAGAAAGCTTTCATGACTCAAAGCTGGCTAATCACGGTGTTACCGACCTGCGAGATGCATTCCCCATCTGTACCGCCGCTCTCCTTTAACTTCCGTTTATTCATTGCAGAAGATTATATCTTTAAATAAGAAAGACGATACAATTGTAACTACTTGGAAAAGGAATTAATTTAGCATATGTTACTCGAAAACAGCATTTTGAGACGCTGGCGGGCTCTGTTTAACCCGAGCAGCAGGACGTTCACCCTCAGGTGACCTGTGCTAACAGACACCCAGCATCCAGGAGGGCCGAAATCCGCGCCGCTGTTTCACGGTGACCCCCGCATCCCGCAGCCATCCCTCGGAAATCCGCCCGCAGAGAGCTGCCCGGCGCTGAGGGGTCCCTGAAAAGCCCTTGACAGAAGACAGGAGCCTCGCAGCCCGCCCCTCTCCTCAGCCCCTCACCTGAGGTGACGCCGTCAACCGCCGCCCTCTAGCGCGCGCGCGCGCCCCTCCCGCTCTATTCCCAGCAGCGCCCGCGCTGCCTGCACGCCCGCATCACGTGACCCCAATCGCCCCGCCTTTCCGGCCCGGCCCACCCCCCACTTCCTTCCCCCCTCAGCTCCATCTCCTTCCGGGTGCGCGCGCACAGCCCTGTGGGAAGGCCCGGCCCTCCCTCCTTCTCTCACCCCCCCCCCCCCCCCTTACCACCCCCCCGCGGCCTCCCGAGCTCCCCCGCGGCGCATGCGCAGTGGCTGCCTCCCATCTTCCTCCCCGGCAGCGCCGGAGCCCCCAGCAGCCGGAGCGGCGGCAGCTGACGATGAGGAGCGCGGGGGGGGCGGGGGGGGGCCGTTATTTATATCGTTAAAGGGACAGGCCTCCCGTTTCTCCGCCGCGGGGGCTGGGGGGGGCCGTCGCACGGCCACCGACTTTCTTTCCCCCCCCTCCCCTCCTTTCCCCCCCCCCTCTCCCCAACCCCCCCGGACCGGAGGAACCCGGGGCCGAGCGAGGCGCCGAGAACGACGGCGGAGAGTTTCTTCTCTCCTCCCTCCCTCCCTCCTCCTCCTCCTCCTCCTCCCCGCGGCCGTCAGCGGAGGGAGAAAGGGCCCCGCCGGGAGCACGGAGCAGCCGGGCGGCCCCCACCCCCCGCGCTCCCCTCCTCCCCCTTTATTGCCCTTTGTGTGCGTTCGCCGCCTGCGCCGCTCCGGGGCCGGCCGGGAGCTGGGGGGCCGCTGAGGTGAGTGGCGGGGCCGCGAGCGGGGCGAGCGGGGAGCGGTTGTTTACCTCAGGGCCGGCCGACTGTCACCTCACGGCGTCGCCGGGCCCGGAGAGCGGGGAGAGAAGCGAGGGGTTTGGCTGAGGACCCCGGGGGTGCGAAAGTTCGGGGGGTTTTGTGGGGAAGGGAGGGGAAGCGTCGGGGTTTCGTGGTGCGGAGCGGGGGGTTCGGCGGGCGGAGCGGGTTGTGGAGAGTCCTGGAGGAGAGCGGGGTGGGGGGGGTCGGAGCTGCGTGAGGGTTTGGTGCCGGGTTTTGGCTCGGTCCAGCCGTAGGCCCCGGTCATACAAAGACTTGTTTGCCCGCTGAAGTTGGAGAGCCGGGCTCGCCTCCCCACGTCAGGAGGTGCCTCGGAGCTCCGGGGTTCGGGTGGTCAGTGGCTGCGTTCGGTTTGGAGTTGGCTGAGGTTGGGATCTGCCTGCCCGTGTAAGGCCGGGGCTCCGTCAGCAGCCACAGCCGTGGTGGTCAGCGGGGCTGCAGGCTCAACCGACAGCTTCCTGCTAATTAAAGGAAAGCTACGTGTCAAAACGCCTGGAATACATACGGTGTAAGGGGATAAGCTACTTGCTGAGCTGAGTCGGAGTAAACGTTGGCGCAAGGCTTCCAGAGGTTAAAAAGAATCCAAAAGTCAGAGTTGAGGTATTGATACGTAGCTGATGTAAGGGCCCATTCTATAAGTGTGATGTTTGCTGCTGTCTGCTGCTTTCTGAAGCTTAATTATGCTCTTTGTAATCTTAAAAAGGCAGCCGGAGCGTGTGCTGAGCCATGAAGTAGGCCGTGAGGTTGTGTTTCATTGGGGCATGGCAGCCAAATGGAGGTCAGCGTCGGGCGTGTGTTGCCTCTGCCTCGTGCTGGAAGGGTACCCACAAGAAAGGGCTCGCCCGTGGGTGCTTTGGGATCTCCAGTTTCTAATTTGGAGTGGCGGCTTTTTATGACTGAGCTGGAAAGAGTTTGAGATAGGAGTAATTAGATTGGGAGAAAAGAATGGGGGAAATGTACATTTGGTCCGATAGCTTAAAGATGTCCCGAAGAAGGCTTGAAGGTAACAGCTATAACTCTAGTTCTTCCTAATAGTTTGCCTTCAGTTTTCCGTTAGCTTGTGAAAATGAGATACTTTTGGTTTTAAACACATGAAAAACTTTGACAAAGTGATCATCGTCTTTAGAGCTTGTGAGAATCATCTTCAGACCCAGCTGATACACGTATAAAAGCTCGGATTCTTTAAATACATCATTCTTCATTTAGTTAGCTTACTGCGTGCAAGGATTGGACAGCAGAAGACTGTCCAGGAATACAGGACTCTAGGACCCTGCACATAGCAGGGGGGTTGAAACTAGACGACCATTGTGGTCCTTTTCAACCCAGTCCATTCTATGATATTATGACTGTTTCCTTTTCTTCATGACAGTGCTCTGTTTTTCAACCTGAGATACCACTGGTGTACTCTCATTTCTGTGTGGAAACCTAAAGACTATGCTCCCTGTGTTTGTGGAGCCGCAGATCTGCCTGCAGCTTCCATGGCCTACAGCTGATGAGATGTATTATTTATTATAAAGATTAACACTTTTATTTCTGTGTGTTTTAACGATGAAGATAGGCGGGATTTGATTTAATCTGGTTGCTCAGTAAAATGCCCTAACAGAATTCTGAAACTGGGTAGAAGAACCCATAGAGTTCTCTGATTGTAAACCTTAGAGATGGAATTGCTGGCAGAACTTCATTTCCGTAGGCCTCTGCAGCCATGTCTGTGCTGAATGGACAGCCGCTGCTTGGGGGGTTGGATAGGAACAGTCCTGAGGAAGCATTTGTGGGGCTGAGGCTCTGAACGAGTGTGCTTGTGTTGTGCCAGAAGTAATTCCTGTGTTTCCACAGCAGTGCCTCATACTGAGGGGTCTAAGGCTGTTTTGGGTTGTCTGGCCACTATCACAGCGACCTCTTAGAAACTGGAAGAACTGAATCTATTGGCTCCTTTTACTGCAGGCTGCTAGTTATCAACAGCTGTAACAGAGAAGCAGTGTAGCTTTTGGCTTTTTTAATCTCTTTATGCTGCTGTTATGAAAAGGTATTAACAAATATTTGTTGTTTCCAGGAGAACTGTGTGCATGTATTTCAATTATTAATCTTCTGAGCAAAAACATAGTGATTTCTTTATTTTACATATTCCAGGTTAGTGACTGCCCAGGCTCGCAGTCTGAGAGGTTGCTTTGAATTAGCAGGAAACCTGTGGCACCAAGATGTAGGCTGTGCTAGTTGTAAAGGTTCTGCCTGGGCCAGGCTTGTACCTGTCCTTTAGCAGTAAGTTTTCCCTGGAAGTTTGTTGTCATGCTGCCCGTTGTAGTTGACTACGTTCATTTGTATTTAGTCTAGTTAAACAGATGTTTCAAGAGAACCTTCTTTATGATGGAGGACTTTCAGTAATTTAATTTTTCTCTGCTTATAATCCCTTCATTCTTTGGGTCTGGAGGGATCAGTCTTTCTGTCCCTTTTAAAAAGCACTGAAGATGTTGGTATAAGCAACACTCCTCTCAAAAACAGAACGCCTTGTATTACGTCAGGGTTTGTTTGACTCAGTTTGTCAGTAGGTTATTTTTTCCCCTACTGTTACTCATGGCGATTGTTTGCACATGGAAGGTCTGCACCTTGACTGCAGTCCATAACCACAGCATCCATTTCTGAGGCAGCAGTGGGTCTCCAACATGGATGGATGCTCCTTCTGGAAGAGAGCATGCTGTGTGAGTGGCCCCCCATGCCTGTCTGCAGCCCTGCTGCTCCCTGCCTCTTCCCAGGCCTTAAGAGGTCCCATGGCCACAGCAAGAGGAGGATCTCAACTCTATCTAGGTGGTTCAGGGCACAAGTTGTGGAATCAGCTAAGCTTCCTTCTCAGAAGTGCTGTTAAAACTTTTGGAAAGCAAGGAGCAGTTCTGCTGCTGTGTTTGGGTTTGTTGTGTTGGTTTGGGGCTTGGTTGGTTTGGTTTAAGGACCCTATATTGCTTTCTCTTTTATCCCAGTGGAAGTGAATAGCAAAGTTACCATTGACCTCAGTAAGAAAAAGATACAGGTTGAATTTTTGAATGAACTTTTGTCCTTATGGACTTTGTTTATGAGAGTGTTTGAAACCACAGACTTTCACTGACTTTTCATTGTAGTTATTTCTGGAACTTTTCATTGTAGTTCTTTCTGGTGGCACGATGCTGCTCAGTCAGTTTCAGGTAGGCCTGCACAGGAACAGAAGCCTGGATTTGAAATAAAATTTTGGAACATCATTGGAGACATGTCAACTGTTGAAGCCTCCTGAAAGCTGTGGAACTACAGCTAAATCAAGTGGGACGCTTACAAAGAGCAGCAGTTCAGAAATTAAGCAGTGCTGACTCCTTTCTGCTCTCCAAACTCAGAGTTCTTTATCACTGTGGCTGCTATTCTTGATGAATTGTCTAGATAGGGGTTCACACTTAACAGAATTATAAAATTAATTTAAAATTTGTCAAAACCATATCAAATACAAAATTATAGCTTGTGATTTATATGTGCATATATGTCCTACTGCATGCATGGGTACATATGCATGTATGTTTAGCTACATACACAAATGTCTGTGTGTACATGCAGGAATATATAAAAAAAGAAAAAAGAGATGCAAAAGTAGATACATTAAAGCAGTGCTTAAAATGAAGCACTTGTGTGGCTCTACAGATTTGCCTTTGGAGTTGTACCTGTGAGTTGTTGTTCTGATCAGGCACACGGCAGCAGGAATCGGTCATTACCATGAGATGGCTATTCATTGACCTTTGTGAGACGACTTGATCAGCTCAGTTTGTCTGCAGCTTGACAGATGTTCCCATTGCAGAGTTGTCCCTTCCCTCCTGCCCTTCCCGTGGGGAATGGCCGTGGAACAAACCATGGCTTTGAGTGCCTTGTTCTTCTCCAGATGTTGGAGCTGAGGGATGTTGTAGGGGTGATACAGAGAGCTGGTGGCACGTGAGGGTTGTTGGTCACTTTGCTGTTATCGTTGCATGTTCTTTCTGAAGCCCTCTGTTTTGAGGGATTGAAGTTTACTTTAAAAATGAAGATGTTTCAAGGACTGGAAATTTGTTGGGGTTTCTAATAACTGCCTTTATTAAAGTAAGAATAAAGAGTTTTGTTCATCCGTTAAGTTTTTCAATGTGCTTTTTTCATGTCTCTTATTTTTCCTTTACAAGAGATATTTCATAGTAAAGCAAGCAGCGTTTTATCAATTATTTCCTCACAATGGCTGGTAGCTAGGACCTGTAGAAGCAATATGTTAATTGCATCTTTCCCATCTGTGGTGAAG